TCAAATGGTACCGGGCCGCCCATTTCATTGAGACTGAATTTAAATTCCTAGGTTTATATCCCAAATTAAAAATATCTGTGTTCCATTAAAATTTCATTTATTTATTTAAAAAAAGGGGGCCCCTGAAGGTAGTGACATAAATTTTTTAATGTTTGTAATGTATCATTGTCTCCGATTACCCCCAGATGGAACCGTCTCATTGCAAAGAAACAAGCTCAAGGCTCTCATTGATTTAACGTTCTAAGAAGTTAAAATGTTAAATCACTTTATACTTATTTTTTGGTGTTACTGTATTTTATTTTGAAGGCATTTTTAAATACAATTAAATTAATAAACCAAAATAATATAAAATATAAACAATCAGCGTTCCCCCCCCCCCAGCGGGCCGCCGTAAGATTATCAAGCGTTGACAGGTCCGCGGTGATAAAAAGGTTGGGGAACACTGCTATAAAGAACTTATCCTGAAAATTTCAACAAAATCAAAAATCGCATGTATCCAACCCTGTCTGACTGATTAGGAAATCCATTGAGATCCTGGGGTCACATTTCGATTTCTAAATGAAATTGACCCTTGCAAGACGAACCCATATGGGTTTAGTATTTGATGAGTCTGCAATAACAATTTATTTGACAAAGCCATTAAAATTTTCATCAATAAAAAGTGACACGCAAAAAAATAATAATAAATAAATAACTAAAAAGAAAACGGGAGCTCCGTATTTTGGCCGCATTATAATCTATGACATTTCCATCACATACTATAGAGAATTTTCTAAAAAAAAGTTGTAATTCTACAAAATAAACATTAACAACTCTTCCGTCAGTATTAATCATTATAATGTAAAGTTTTTTCTTAAGGAAACGATTAAAAAAACTTTGCACTATAACGAATAGCATTACAGTGGAAAGAAATCTCACATAAAAATATCCGACATTCAAAATGTTAACCATAAACTTTATTTACTTATCTTCAATTGATCTTGGTGGAACGAGAAAATAAACCTGACCCACAGTAATGAGATTTTGTGCAAAGAATTATAAAGGATTTACTGATTTCTATCAGTAAATCTTTTAATGAATGCACATTCGTTCGAGACTTTTTACCACCAACAAATAGTTGCTTTTTCGCCAGGAAACCGTAACCTACATTTTATTATTATCGGAAAGGTGACTATACTCATTTTAATCTTAAAAAAAAACTTATTTTCGAGACTTGCTTCATTTCGAAAAGATTTTCTTCAAAAATAAGAATTATCTACACCAACGGTTCCCATTTTGAACCGTAGGTAGCCAACCATCTTTCTGCGGAACACCGATTTTATTTTATAAACGAAGTATGTAAAGACAATTGTGAATGTATTAACAAGTAAAATACTACTTTATCTTGAAAATTTTTAAAACGAGAAATTTTCCCCACCCGGCCACAGTGCTGATATAAAATATCCTCGGTGGCAGACGGATCACGGGTTAGAGTCCATTGCATTCAGGCCAACCGTGGGAGGTTTTCCTCTCCATGTAACGCAAATGCGAGGTAGATTCATCAAAAAGCTTTACATGAAGGCTAATTTCTCCCAATTGATCCAAGAGTGCCCTTGCCTTCTGAAATGGGTTCAAAATTACAAGGCTGTGGAATCGAGCATCAGTAGGCGTGAACTCAAAATAGGGTCGGCTGTTCAACGACGGTTATAAAATAAGCGAATGTCAAACCACGGTGGTTTACGGAATAGAGAGTTCGTTTCCCAAAGAAGTGAGCTAGGTTCGAATCCCAGCGGTGGAATTAAGTTCGCTTTCCGCTTGCACCCACCACAAAACTGACGTAAAATATCCTCAGTGGTAGACGGGTCAAGAGTTCCCTTATCGTCAAGCTGACCGTGGGAGGTTCTCCATGAAGCGCAAATGCGGGTTAGTTCTATCAAAAAGTCCTCCACAAAGGCAACATTTCTCCCAGTACTTGATCCAGGTGTTCCCTTGTCTTCTGTGTTGGGTTTACAATTACAAGGTCCCGCAGTGGACTGATCGTTAAGACACGGTTCCCAGCAGATCACCGAAGTCAAGCATCACTGGCTACGGTCAGTGTGCGTGTGGGTGACCACTTGGATCAGTCTGCGTAGGGACCGAGGGTGTGCGGTATTGGTCCTCGTTAAACTGTTCTACCGTAAAGTGCTCGACTTCGCGTGCAGGTCGTCGGGCTACCGAAGCGGGGGTGCCATCCCCTCTGCAGAGGATCAAAATTGTGATGGCATGTCTTCGGATCATCCTCAGGGATGTTTCCCAGACCGTCGCCAATAGCCCATTGTGCAGCTCTAGTACGACGTAAATTAACTACAATTACAAGACTACGGGGTTGAACATTCACAGTCGTAAACCATGGTTACAAAATAAAATAAAAGATTTTTTATTTATCATTAATCTTAAGTTATGTTGGACAGTTGAAGTGCTGGAGTAGAATCTAGTCTAGTTATGAGTTTGTTTATAGCGTATATATACATAAGCTGAAAATGAATGAAATAAACCAAATTATTTATTTTCGTTGACATTATATAACTAAAGATTACTGCAATAAACATTTAAAACGGTTATTAGGGAAGCATTTTTCCTCAATTTTCAAAATTCAGTATATTTTAAGTATAATAAAGACGCTAGCTCACTCATGATGATATCGTATTCAATAATTATCGTTCTATTAGCGTATATTCGATATTTATCGCAATATTTAAAAAAAAAAAAAAACGGTATTTCACGATACATCAATTTAGTATCAGTGTTTTAGATGCTAAGGAAAACTGTCCTTTCTGTTCTTGAGAAAATAGATTAAATTATACGCTTTTCTCTAAGATCAACGACGAACTTTCAGTTCGTTACAGTTACAATTGTTGTGATGTCAGCGGACCGACGTTATTATTAACAAATCAATGAGGACTGTCTTTAGTTGCGGAACAGCGGCGCTGCCTCACCGATCCAGAGAGTGTCTCAACTAATTGATGCTTGTTGCTACTCTTCTGTTACCTAATTGCAAGAATGTTATTTTGCTATACATCTATGTTTTGTTGGTTCATTAAATATACTTTTCACCATGATTCTTCATTGGGATATTTCGTCAAGGATGCACACAGTCTAACAACAATAAAATAAAACGCCGAAAAAAAAAACCATAGAATTTTAAGACTTTTAAACCAGCAGTTCCAAATGGTGTTCAAAGTTCCTGCAAGAGTTCAACGAGTTAGGACTGAATTCACATAAAGGACTTCTTTTTTCTACAAATTTGTAATTATATAAAGTTCCAATCAATAACTCATCATTCATTCAATTATTGGTTAATATTTATCATTTATTTAATATTTTAGTTTGAATTAATAGTTCTAAAGTAAAATGCCAACAAAAAAGAAATTGTACATTTTTTTGATAATAGAAGGGATAATTTTTCAAAGAATGCATTGAATAAACTAAGAAAAGTACATGCATTCATATTGCATTAGTTGGCTGGGATAGCCTGGTTGGCAGGACCCACGTTTTTCAGAACGGGAGTTTGAATCCAGCCGACTGAAGACGCCCTGTCTACTAAATGATGTCTGGTGCACGTTAAATCTGACAGAATAACAAAGTCCTCCATTTTTCCGCAACCAATCAGTACCTCTGGGGGTACTGAATTAGAGATGGATCATTGTCTGGTTCAGGTCAAAATTACGATCTGCGGACGAATGAATGGATCTGACCTATAAAAGGGGGTGACAGAAGTCAAATTCTTGGCCATAGATGGCACCAATGGAACCTTCTTTGCCTTAGTGGCATCTGACGACAACAACATTGCATTAGTACTTTCCAAACAAACAACTAAATTGTTAATAAAGAAATGCTTCCCTAAAAACCATTTTTCAATTTATTTCATTCATTTTCATTTAATGCTAATATACCAAATCAAATTCATAACAAGTCTAAACTCAGCTCCAGAACTGTGAATTCAACTGTCGGACATAAAACCTAATTTAAGATCATAAAAATAAATTAAGATGAAAAAAGGATGTTTTTCTTTTTATAAGTACTATTTTCAAAATAAAGCAGTTTTTTATGAGCAAATACGTTCAAAATGTCTTTACATACTTTAGTTATATCATCAGGGCTCCGTTAAAAGAATGATATTCAATTAGGGTTCCGTAGCTGAAATAAATTGGAAACGGCTGTCTTAAACAACTTCAATATCCACAGATCATTTTAGGTACAAAACAATTATTCATTCATAAACACTATAAAGTTACAATGCAATAAATAAATTTATATTTTGTAGTAGAATTGAAACTTTGACTTTTATATTGGGCACATAGGAATAAGAGGGAAATTTTTTTTGACAGAGCAATTTTTCTTTTTAAAAATATTTTTTGTTTCTACATATACAACATTTCACACGTTATGCAACATCTGTCAATTTTTATTAGATCAAAACACCAGATGTAAAACACACAAAATTTTTTTCCTAAGACTTGATTAATTCTTTTGTAATTAACAGGAATTGTAACAATACTTTAGCGTAAAAAAAAAATTAGCTCTTCTCACAGAGGGCATGTTTGAAAAAACGATTTTGTTGAAAAAAGGAATCTGAAGGAAGGAATTCCTACAGAATATTCTTAATCAGGAATATTAGGACAACTACAAGCCTTGTAACTGCATAAATTGACAGTACATCTTCACATAACAATTTATAAAAAATAGATATAACTTATTAAAAAGAATTTTTTTTTACTTATTGTTAAATGGTAAACTAAATATTTCTATTATTAAATGTTGCAAAATACAGTAATATCATGCAATAAATTTATAATAAAGGAGCAGCACTTTTTGTTTTAAACCTTTAATTTTGAATGATAATTAAAAACATAATAAAAGAGATCATATCTTATTGTCATAATGATCGTATCTGATCATATCTTATTGTCGTAATTTTTCTGAGAATGCATAAAACAGTAAGGTGACAAATATATTTTTGATGTATAAAAACATGAAAAAAATTGTAGAAAATACTTTTATTGGAAAACATATGTTTATGTAAACAATTACATTAAATAGTGAAAAAAATTACAGAACTAAGTGGTTTTTATGCTTCAACTTCCATATCTTCATCATTTTGTTTTACAGTTGTTTCAACAACTTCTAACTCAACCGTTTGCGAAGATAATATTGGAGTAGTACCAGGAGGATAGCTATACTTTCCAAAACTGTAAAAGAAATTATTATAATTAATTTTTAAATGGCAAAAGTCTATTAAGAAATAAAGTAAAATGAGAATGAAAACCAAAACTCACATTTGTCCTTTCACGTTAGCAACTTTATAGGGACGGATGTAATCTACTCCATCACTTGTAATAACACACAGATCAACAATGCTACCTGATCCTAAATCATTAAAAATACCAGCAGCAATGGCATCATGAACCAACTCCTTCCCTTCTTCAAGCTGGAAAAAAAAAATTTGTGTGCATGTGAAAGAAGTGAAGACAACTATTACAATACAAACTTATATGATAATGAACAAGCACAGGCGAAATTTTAAGCTACAAAATCAGACACAGCAACGTACTGAACACAAAACGTTCTGAACCCCAAAAATATTGGGGATAGTTGCAATCATTGTTTGGTTAGGTGAGGGATCCAAAAATTGGGCCCCTTAATAATAGTTTTACTTTTTGCATATTTGTTATATATTGAGAACTTTAACTTTTTAAGTGAATTGAAAAGGAACCACACAGGAACTGTTTGACCGATTTCGCTCAAATGTTGCATTTTGCCATGTAAAAAAACAATCGTTAAAATGATGTAAAAAAATGTAAACTTCACTATTAAATTTTTTTTTTACTATTTTTAAAATAGTAAGTATTTTTAAAATGTCATTCTTTTGCATGGAATATTCTTTGGATAAACGAATTTTATGGTTGTGTGCAAAAAATTTTCCACTCACTTAAATTGTTCTTGAGATATGGCAAAATATGCAAAAGAAAAACTAGTATTAAGGAGTGCATATGTTGGATCGCTATCCCGACCAAACTAACTCGGAAAACCTAGCCAACTAAATACTGGAATTTATATCAATACAGTGACAAAAAGTTAGCATCTTATTTTTTTTAAACATCTACCAGGTTTCATTCGATTAGGTTATGCAAAATACAGAATCCTAAAACTAGGATGAACTGTTGTGGATGAAATTATTTCTTACCATGAGCTGGAAGTTCATACATTTTATGGTTGTAATCAACATTTTACAAAAATAGTATTAATGAAGTAAAAAAATGTATAGCTTCAAAATAAAGCATATTTCATGAGTGATTACCAACAAATAAAACTCATTAAAGCAGACCTTGTTTGCAGAAGAAGGCCAAAGAAAAAAATTACGACATTGTTTTGGAACAATATACACATTCCAGACTATTTTTAATAAGAGCAACAAAAAAAAAAAAAATAATAATAATAAAAATTACCCTGCTGAAGTATACTAAAGACAAATTTAATTGCAAAAGAATGATAAAATATACTATTTTGTGTAGATCCAAATATTTTAATAGTTTCCAGTATAATTTTATTGATGGAGCACTGAATAAATAATTATTATTTGAGATCAATGCATGGAAAATTTGCATCAAAGAACAGGCACATAAAAAAAAATAATAACCAGCATCAATTAGTTAATATTTCCTCATAACAATATTTAAAAAAAATTTTTAATAAAGTTCAAGATTTCCCCAAACAAATTATTTGAAAGTAAGGTTTCCGTAACCTTTAAACAAAAACACAGTGAATACGTTGCTTAAAATTTTTTTTCAGTAATTAACAGTAACATTAATTCAATGTTTGTAACAGTAATTTAATGGACGGTTTATATATTTACTATTTAAAAATTATATAATTACTGTAACGTTGATTGGAATCTATCATTTTCAAAGTAAGGATGAAGTGGCAATTCAATAATTAGGGTATAAATTCCCACACATGCGAAACAATGAATCATATACATGAATTATATATAGAACATGCTGTTAGTTGTTAATGCACAGTAGCCGTTTGTCCATTTCCTCGTTTTAGCCCAACTTAATCTGTAACTTATAATTGAGTACATGTATGGTTGTAATTTGTTTTGTTTTTTTCACCACCCAGCAATAGCAAATGCTGTCCAACAATTTGTATATAATGTCTCTAAGTTCGAATTATCAAAATTTACAATATTTATTAACATTACTAGCTAAAATTTAAAAAAAAAAAAAAAACTACTGTAACTAAAATACAAATCTTTCAATACTTCAAATTGATTATTTAAAAATCTGCATTCGTAGAAACTTGACTGTTTCAAACATTTAAAAAAAAATCAGGAGTGTTATTGCAAAAAGCTAAAAATCAAGACAAATTTCGAATCACGATCATCAGGACAATTACAAACCTTTCATTAAAGTGAGTGATAATATTGCTTGAGTTATAAATATGTTATAATAACTGTCACACTTAAAAATGACAAATGTAGCTTAAAGTTCTGAAATTTAAATTTCAGACGATATCACATTTAAGATTCACTTTCAAATTAAGTGCTTTTTACTCATAAATTATTTATCACTTATGCTAAGATTTTAATCTAAAAGAAAATTATTTTCAAACTTTCCATAAACTATCAAGATCTACAGGGAATTAGAAATATATATATATANTATATATATATATATATATTATATATACACGGTTCCCACCTGCAATAAAAAATTAATTGAATGAAAATTGAATTTTAAATGAAAATGTAACATATTTCAAGGCAACTATGTTTGATTTGGATAACATTTGGTGTGAAGCCTCTATAAAAGGAAGAACAATAAAGTAGCATACTGCCATATCTGGTTTCCATCTAGTTTCAAAGACAGACATTGCAGCTAAGGATCCTGAACCTGTGCAGTCAAAGGGTGCCTTTTGATAAGATCCATGAGGATGGATAGAATAGATACTAGGACCACTTTCGTCCACTCCTCCAAGAATTAAGGCAGCACCAACATGACCTTGATATCTAACAAAAGAAACAAGCTTCAACATTTTAATGCATATTATTATTACAATTTAAAACACTAGAGTAAGTCTGATATACAAACTATAGAGAGTTTCTCTCACTGTTCAAGTGAGTTATTCAATTTAAATTAAACAAGTAAATTAATTTGACACAACTTTTTCAGATAATCTAGAAATAAAGTAGCCTGATCATTTTCTTTCCTATGATTATTGTTAACATTTGGCACTTAATCCTCAAATTCATTTTAACTACATTATTTGCCAAAAAGTCTCGGCATTACGTAATTTCATTTTCCGCATACATAACTAATGCTTTGACTCTGACTAAAACTCACTCTCTCTTCGACCGTAACACTTGGGAATACATTCAGCTCTGATTAGTTTCTTTAAGAAATCATTGCTACAGCTCAGCTACTGCATTTTTTCTTTGTTTTTATTGTTCCATTTTTTTAAATTATTATTTGACATTTCTTCATTCACATTGGGTGGGTATTGAGAATCAATAGCATTTAAAACAAAAATTTTCCCACCTTTAAATAATCTACGTTTTTATTTTATCAAGTATATTCAAATTTAGTAGAGCTTCACCAGTTAATAATATTTCCTTCTAAAAATTTTATGTTAAAATATAATTGCACATCATTTTATTCTTGACATTTAACATATAGATGAATAATTCTTAACGAATGATACATTATCATACAAATTCAATTTTACAGCAAAACTCCGCACATCTAAATTACTACTTAAGCATATTACCAAAACTTTATTTGCTTGAAACTCTATAAATATACATATATAAATTAAAGAGTTTTAAGGTCAAAAAATAAACTGGAAAATAAAATAGCTTACACACTTAAGTCTGAAGAATATGACAATTACATGGCTAGGATACTACAACGAAATTCAAAAATATTTTCAATGATGTCATCAAACATTCACTTGCTTTTTAATAAGTTGTAATACAAATTCACATGTTTTGCCATCTAGATCCAAAGTTAGTTAGACCTTTCAATTTTGCTACTTGCAAAGCTCTGCTACATGATTTTCTACTAGGGAATTCAGAAATTTTCCAATTCTGATAATGTGTCATTTATTCACAGATTTTTCAAATCAAGCAATCTGACAATCATGCTTTGGCTTGTTTCAGAACCCTACTTCACACAAAAGTAGGAATCTTACATTTAAAGTACACCATCCTCTATAACTAGTTATGGTAAAAAATTTATTAAAGGATTATTATTGTTCAACAGTACAGTTTCAACAATTTATTAAACTGTTTTCTTTTAAACAAGTTCAGTCACATAATAACTGTATGAATGCTATCTGTGCCAATGTTTTGTAGGTAAAAAATCATTTTAGGTTCTCTAGAATTTGAGTCCTGTTAGCACGTAATTTAATAAGAAAGTTTTGATTTTAACAATGGGTAATACAAATGAAGCGACTATATTTTTTATGCTAATACAAAGTTTGGTTTTAAAATACACTTCAGAAAAATCAAGGAGAACAATATTCTTACTTCAAAAATTATTTTAACTAACCAAAAGCACAAAAACATACTTAATAACTATAAAATTGACAGACTGACAATTCACAGAAAGCTGTACAACCATGTTTAATTAGAAGATAAAACTTTAAATACAACAAAAGAAAACTACACCCGACAAAACTAAACACAACTCTTCAAGAGAAGAACATAACACTGTCAAAAGCAATACATAACTAACTACAAAAACACAAACTTCCTTCTAGTTGAGACAAAACAAGGAGGAAAACACTGCCCATCTATTTGTTTACGTTTTCCGACAAACTTGATATTAAAATCGTATGAAAAAGAGCCACAGTAAAAGCGGATTCTGACACAGTTCTAAAAATTTAAAATGGCAAAAATCCACCTAACAAAAAGAATATAATTGGAGGAAGAATCCCACACAAAAGTCTCTTCAATGGGATTTAGAAAAAGTTTCAAAATAAGAATGTTAGATTGCAGAACTGAAAACTTGCCTGATTATAAGTTTTTGATGCACAGAAAAAGCCTAGTTTACTAATTTTTAGACAAGGAGAGATGACATGAAAAACCTGGAAATCTGGGGTACACCCGGAATAAAATCACCGTAGAATTGAATCATTCCAAATGAAAAACAATGCCAGAAATTAAAGTATTTTACTTTTCAAAAATTTATGGCGGCTTAAAATCAAAGACATCAGTATATTTTGAAACAGGATTATAGAACAAAATACTAACCTGAAAAGGTACTGATAGAGTAAACGATTAGCTACACACACAGGAACGACACGATCTGTTGCCAGTCGATGAAGCTCCAATTGAGATGCTATCATCTTAGTAACTTGTTCAGTATCAGCAGCTGTGCCAGCACCACAACAACTTGAAAAAAAAAAATTCTTAATTATTTGAAATTTAAGTGTTTGCGCAGTTTTCGAAATATTTTTTTCCAGAAAATACAACAGATTAACGTGTGATGTGATTAAAGATTAATATGTGATTCAAAACCTGCTTTGACAGATCAAAATATTATCTAAAAGGAGTAATTAAATGTTGAACTAACTCAAATCCCTAGGTTCGTGTCGACAAACAACTACATGACAGCAGATACTATTTTCCATTCATTTCTAAATAACAATAGTTTAGTCAAAAGTGTGGTTTCTATTTAATTTTGAGCCCTACCCATGAAAAAAATTATCAGCGTGCTCCCGGACTAGCATTCGATGTATAAAGATGGTGTGGTATACTGCTTTGGTTTTGCTCGTGATTTTGTCATAAAATAGCATGGTTCATTTCATAAATTCTTAATAACATAATTTTTCATTTTAACTCATATTATTATTCATTTTTGAAAAAAAATTATTGAAAAAAAAAATTAGAAAAAAAATATATATATATTGTCATGTGGGGCTACTTTGTGCAGGATTTCGCAGTTTTTGAACTTTGACATGTAAAAAAACCATGTTAATTCAAACTTTAGTAAAATTTATCGATATTATATTCATAACTAGACTCAGACGAGTGAATTTGATCAATATTGGCATTATTTGCATGTAATATTTGCAAATAATAAGTCAAAACATACCTTGCACAAAGTAGCCCCCAGGTAGGGCTACTTTGTGCAGCGATAGGAATTCAGTTTAATAATCATGTTTTCAGTAAAATATTGATATAAAATTGTTAAAAAAGTTAATTGTTGACATTTTTAATAAGAAAAACATCAAGATATGTAAAGATATTAGTTTGAAAATAATTTTCAGTGTTAAAAAAAACATTTTTTATAAAGAATTTTTTCTTAAAAAGAATGTTTATTTCAAAACATTTGAGTTTAAACAAAAGGAAACCATATACATTTTTGAACATTGAAATCGATGAAATTTCAAAAATAATAATTATTACATATTCATAAACATTTATAATATTGATAAATTTGAGAATAACATGCTTGAATGAACATGACAGAATTTGCTCTTCAGTTTCTGTCAAAATCACCTGATGTCCTATAAAATATATTTTTATGTGTTAAATCATTTGATAAATTCATTGAAAAATCTTTGTAGAAGAAAAATAATAGTTTACCATCGCGTTTCACGTGTTTCTTGTGAGTTTTATTAGAGATTGTATTTCTGTGGATTTTGTACTTCCGAGAAGCTTCTTCAATCGACATACCACCAGCAACTGCTTGCAAACATTGTTGCAGCTTTTCTAAAGTGTAATCACGGTAGTTTCTCGTTTCAGGTATCTTTTTTTACGCCTGACCATTTTTCTGTCGAAAAAAATGAATGAAACTTTGCACAAAATAGCCCCACATTGCATTTTTTTTCCATTTTCCGTTTATTTGTTATTAATTTTCAAAATTTTTAACGCTAACATGATATAATTGTTTATTAATATATAAATAAAAAATTTTGCACCTACGACAACTGTTTTATCAACGTCTTTGCATTTCACAGCTAAAGTTTCCACGCACACTTTTCAACGTCCGACGTTCTCGGAAAGTTGTTGACATTGGATAAACAAAACACACTCTGAGATTGTTTTAAAATTCGAAAAAATGTTTGCAGTAATAGAGGAGACTTCTATCTTCAAATTCCACACATTTTTAATGTGAAAAAAAAAACATAATACTGAATAGCAGCACTTGAAAAGTGCCAAATTCGAATTTGCACAAAGTAGCCCCACATGACGGTACATAAAGAAATAGACCAGTGAATATGAAACAGGGGTTTGCCCAGACATTTTGTGAAAGGTCCTGTTTTTGTAAAATTGTGAAAAAACTATTTTTAATTTGTGAATATAAAATAAGCGTCAAATCACATTCTTTCAACCAGGGTCCTGCTTTTGTGAATTTGTGCGAATAGGGTCCTGTTATTTAAAAAATTGCTAAAAACCTTTTCAAGAAGTTTTTAAATTGTAAATAGATTCAAGATTCTGCTCAAGAATTGCTGCTACTAAATTAGAAATACAACATACAAATATTTGGTATTTAGCCTATACTGCTCAACACAGAATATTCATTTTGGACGAATAATGGAAACAAAATCACTCACATTTTTAATAATTTCAATAGACATATTTTAAATAACACAACTTAGTAATGTATCACTTTTAATGTGTTACACATTAAGTAAACTTAAACAATTCTTAAATTTATAATAGTTCAATTAACACTAGAAAGACTGAAACTTAGTATCTATCTATATTGCCAAAAAGCAGTCAAAAAGACTTCCTTTAGACAACCTAGTGTTAAAAAAATTGTCCAAAATTTTTATTTACATAACATTCAAGTAATTAATTTTATGAATAAATATAAATTGATCAATTATTTACAAAAAAAAAATAAATTATGATTTAATATTAATAAGAATGCTTTTACAAATTTTATGACTTACTTATACATGACAAATTCAGGACATTTATTAAATTGATAAGTTTGCAATTAATCAAATTCCGAATTTATGTATCACCCAACAAGTTTATGATGTTGAGTTTTTAGTGTATATAGGCTTTGCAAGCAGCACTATAATCATTTATTCACAAAATACATAATAAAATCACACATGAAGTCACAATTCACTTAATCAACTTGAAATTCAGTCCCTTTTACAGCTTACAGACTTTGGGCAAAAAAGATAAAAAAATTCTTTTATGTGGTTCTCTTTTTATAAAAGAGAATCAATCACAAAGTAAGCCAAGGAAACACGCAAACCTAATATGAAACTATATAGTATAAACATCACAAATACTTACTACATATTGGGAGCCATGTAGTGAATTTTCTCACAATTCTTATCAGCAACAATTGAGCCTGAAGTAGCTCGAGTATCAGCTCCAAGAATCACACCATCCTTAAAATATACATATATATGAAACAAAGGTAAAATGATGATGCATGCATATTATTTTCTTTCATAGTAATTCAAATGACAAGATTGAAAAACAATATTTATTACAGCAACAAATGCGTAATTTTGCATGGCACAATACAAAATCGGACAAATAATTCTCGAGAAATCAAAGTTTAAAAAAGTTGTATATTTAAAATTCAATTTCTCAGGAACAATTTGGCCGATTTTGTTCAAAGTGTGTATTTTCCAATGTAAAAATTATATAGGTACTGTAAAATGATGTAAAAAATTATATACATTAAAAAAAAATTTTCCAGACTACTATTAAATAAAATAATAAATATTTACTAAAATTTATTTTTTGCATGCAATTATATTCAGACAAATGAATTTAGACAAATGATAGGGACTAAAAATTGGCTTAAAAAGTTCTCAGGAAATGGTGAAGTACATATACCCACAATGACAGTGCCAATTATTTACTAAGAATTTCCAAGATGCGTACTTCCCTTTTCAGATGATTGGGACTCTACAATAAAAAGTAAAATTAACAATAAAGGGTCCAAACTTAGTATCGCTCTCCTGATTAAACTGTAGTGGTAGGGGCCATATTTCCTAGTCTCTGCTACCCTATATTTTAGGGACAGAAACCCGAAGCCGTTTAAAATAAAGGGTATGTTTATTGAGAAAAAGTAAATTTGTATCTAATTTCATAATTTAAAATATCATGTGCAATAATTTGCATATTCCAGGTCACCCTATTGAACCATTAAGATTGATTATTAGATCAAAAGTTATTCAAGATTGTCGGGGTTGTGCACTGTACATCTATGCCAACACTGTAAAGATTTCACTGTTCTTTGTCATTAATTTTCATGAGTTCATGACAGTGATTAACATTAGACATGATTATCATTAATATTTTTTCCATACTGAGGAATAAAGAAATTATTCATTAATATCAACTTATTTGGCTTGTAAAAGTTGATTTTCTTTCCAGCAGCTATTATCTAAACAAACCTTATTTTAAATTAACAGTGAAACATGAAATATATATTTACAATGTCAAATAAAAATTTACTATCAACAGAAACTTAATTAAAAATAGTTTATAAAAGAAGAAAATTTACCTTAAAGACCATGCCAACAATGGTTGTACCTGTTTTTTTAGCTTTTGGAACAGGATATCCTTTTGAAGTCATGTATGCATTTCTTCATTAGAAGAAAGAAAGAAAAAAAAAACAATTTTAAATATCATAATAACTATGTAACAAAAAAATAAGTAAACAACAGAGCATGACATATTTCAATATGTGAAAGAGTAATAAGCTAAAATCATAAACTAAGTTAAAATATTCTGATCACAAAGCTTGTCCAAGAATCTAATTATAAAATGCCTTGGCAATTCCATGCCTACATGTATTGTGGAAGTGGTGTTGCACATCGATTAGCTATAAGCCTTTTATATCAAATTGAAAAAGTTTTTTGCTGAATAACATAAAAGTATGACTAATTTTCTCTTTTGAGCAAAATAAATCTAGATAAATGGTGAAGTAATAATATGATCACTCTGATTACCTGAGAAGAACAAGAGACATTTACAAATAAGCATCATTGTCTAAACTAAATATTATGAAATCCAATTTTAAATTATTTAAAAAAAATAATAAAAAAAAAGGTAGGTCGACTTATTAAATAGCCATAAAAAAATTTACATATTTAATATTTATTATTTAAAAAACTTTGTGTACCCTTGTTGCAAAGATTTATTAAGAAATTTACAGAGCACATTATGAATATAAATAAGTTTATATCGGTATATTTATTTAACTTATTTAAAGCAAAAGTAATTTTTAGAATTACCAACAGATAGAAAAGTCAACTTTTTCTAGTTAATAAAAAATTCCATCTCGATTTTTAAGCTATTTCCAGGAATCATTAAAGTTATCGAATGTTTAAAATGTCGGTACGCATTTGTTTTCTCAAAAACTGCTTAAACAATAATGTTCAAATTTGTATACTTTACAATAAACAAAAAGCGATGAATTCATATCAAAAATGATTTTTGATACATAAATGAATTCAACAGTTGTGCAAATGTTTAGATTCAGAGTTTTGAGATATGAGAAACTATGTGAAAACATTAAGGGGTACAAATTTCCTACTGCTCTTCTGACTAAATTTATTAAGGTCATAATTCCAAATTTGCAGCTATTCCCCACATTTAGAGGATCAGTAATCTGCACCTATTAAAAAAAACATTACATTAATTTAGCAAAAGTTTTCAAGTTTCTTAACTTAAAATATCGTCTACACTAAGTAATTTATTTGGGGTGACTTCTTTAAACCATTAAAATTGAGTTCCAGTGTGCGAAAATACAATAGATAATTTAATTAAAAGTCATGTTATGTTTTTGTGTACTGGGTTTATAAAACTTTTGTGTACCATATTTCATGAAATTGGTACTTTTAAATTTGATTAGGTGTCAAAAAGTGTCATGCCATAATAACATTGTATCAGAGCTCATTCTAGGCAGAAAAAAGGGCAGGGTGCAAAAGTTTTTTAAAAAAAGGGCATTATACTAAAAAGGCAATAATTTCTTTCTATGGGCTTTGCACGTTTATAATAACATTGTCAATTAGTAAAAGAATAAATTTTTTTTAAACTTTACATAAAGTAGCAAAGCAATCATATTAATACCAATTTTTATTAATAAATTAACACATATATCAATTTTATGAGATAATTAGCTTAGTAATTTATTTAAAATGCATGCATAGATTAATAAAGTACCTAATAAATGCATGTTATTGAGTGTCTGTAGTTATGATTTAATAATTAATATGATTAATAATAATTATGATTCAATGATAGTGGAAGTAACTGCAAACTTTCAAAGACAAGTACAACAAGGGGGTGTGATGGCTATTTTTTCTTTCCCATATAAATCTATGTATTGACAGCGATGACAAACTAATTAAAAAGAGTTAAAAATAACAAAAGTTTAAGAAATCCATTGTAAAGTTTGGGGAAAAAATAAAGAAGGGTTAAGGAAAGAAAGGGTAAAAAAAGGATATGGAGTCTATTACATCAGGATACTAATTTACTTCAGGGGCAACAGGGTGGATTCTTTTGACTAAAAGGGCAGCAGGGTGCTGCACCATGTTTACCCTGCCTAGAACGAGCTCTGTGCAGTGTTCATTCTAGACCTTAAAAAGAGCAAGGTGCTAGAAAGTGAAAAGGGCATTATTTTCCCCTAAAAAAGGGTACCTATCACGAAAAAGGGCATTGTACACAAATATTTTCATAACTTTTCAGAGACCCAAAATATACAAAGTTTTTAATTTTATCTCCAGATAAAATTTAAATTAAAAAATAATTCTTCAGTTAAATTTGCACAGTCTATAAATTAGTTTTAAAATCAGCAAAATTCTCGAATTTCAAAAATGTTGCGTGTCGTAATAACATATTAAATATATCGGGATTTTAAAGAACAATATCAAAGTCAATGAAAAAATTATTAATGCTTGCAGAAAAAGCGATNATTAATACTTGCAGAAAAAGCGATCGAAAATTAATGTGTACTTAAGATGGATTTTAAAGAACAATATCAAAGTCAATGAAAAAATTATTAATACTTGCAGAAAAAGCGATCGAAAATTAATGTGTACTTAAGATGGAATCGTCGCGAATCAAGCACGTGAAAAATTTATTACCAAACCATGAAATTCGTTAGCCAAGACACATTAATTACATTGGAATCCAAAATTTCATGAGGAAATAATCAAGAAATGACGAACAGCTGCCGGAAAAGTGATTCATAAACAATGTGGATTGTCGGTAGAATAGATCTAAATTGAGAATGCCAAAAAGTGATTCAAACTAGTGATCCAAATCAAACCAGGTTGTTTTAATAACATTGTATAAAAATTATCAGATTAAGAAAAAATAAATAGAAATCACATATTCAGATTCATTGGGTATGCAGTGCAGGGTGGAATTTTTAATTCAAAAGACAAATGGGGCGCCCCGCAAATCCCGTCTAGAACGAACCCTGCATCGTGGCTCCAAATAAACAATTTTTTTGAAAAAACATGTAGAGGTTTTCCCAGGGAGTGACTACATGTTATATTCTTTAAGTTGGTGTTTTTTTCTAATTTCCTGTGCTAAAATTTGGAGGTTATTCTGCAGCAGATCAAGATATTGAAGCCCTCCCAGCATTTAAAATAATGACATAAAATTGTCAAGAGATGAAAGTTGTCGAGTTTGAGTTCAGTTTAAAAGGTAATCCATAATAAGAAAAAGGAAACATTCAGTAAGCAAAAAAATTAACAGTTTAGCAAAATTATTATATAAGGTATAAATTCAATTGAACCACGAGCTTAAAGCTTGCAAATTATGATTAATTATGCTTATCATACTTTTCATTTTCATCACAAACACCAATATACAGGGATGAGATTAGCCAAAACGCAAAAAAGCTGAATTTCCACAATAGTAAATTTTACGCAAGCGCAACCCTTTAATAATAAATTCCTGACAGTTTAAGGTAATAAATAATGTTTTGACATACAATTATGTACTAATCTATTATTATAAAAACGATTACATTGATACTTAACATTTAGTGGGAAAAAAATTACCAATTGAAAAAATAAAGCTGGAAATTATATTTTTCCTCAGTTCACATAAGAGACAATTACTACTTGAAAAACTACCTGGTTTAGAAAATTAAAACTACTGAGAATATTCATTAATATTTCATTTTTTAATAAATACTGTTATGTGATTTATAGCAAATATATCAGTAATATTACTTTTTTAAATTATATTGGAGAAAAAAAACTTTAACAATGGACCGAATCATTGTGTTTATTATAATTTCATCTAACTACAGCCCTCTAAAACATATCAATACCAGTGAAGTAGAAATATAAAGTAACTCCTTAACATATAAAAATTGCTATTTTAGTTTGAAAAATTACATGACAATCAGCAATTGTTTAGATAATTGTTTTTTATTTGATAAGAATTTTGCATTTTATAGCATAAATAACAGCAATTATAAATAAAATTTTGATGATGAGTTAATTAACTCTTTTTCCCCCAAAAATTTTTTTTAATTAAATCCCTTTTTAGGTGATTGCTTTTGTTTGCATCAGGGTTGGAGTTTTTGCTGGCAAAAAGGGTTTTTTGGTCAAAACCTGGTAAAAACCAGCAAAAACTGGTAACCAAATTATCTAAATTGCTGATTAAATATTATTACAAAATACTTGAAACAAATTTAAATCGATCCTAAGGAATAATAATTTTGATACAATACATGAAAAAATTATTTTTAACATATTAATAATTAATATAAAGGCAATAATTTTTAAAAGATTGAAAGTTTTTGACCTCTTTTCATTTTAGAATCCTTAAATAAATGTTTTTTTTACAAATGAATAAATATTATTATTTGTATAATATTATTATTATTTATTATAAAAAAGTATTATTTGTACAATAACTAACTACACATCTTGATAGATATTTTATGCTTTAAATTATAGTTATATTAATTTAAAATAAGTTCATTTCACTGGAAAAAGAAAATAATTGCAAATTTTCCAATCAATAATGCTTTAAACTACTAAAATGGTGTATTATTACATTATGATTTCATTATGGAATAAAAATTTTGTTAATTTTTTTGTAATTATTCATATTTATAGTATATATTTCAATTTTAGGAATAATTTTGTCACAAAAATGTGTTTTTGTCCTCTCATCTTGGAAAATATAGGTTTTTGCCAATTTGCTTGGCAAAAACCTGTTTTTGCCAGGACGGTTTTTACCAGTATTTACCATGGTTTTTTCCACCTGCGGCAAAATCTTGCCAACCCTGCTATGAGATACACTGATTTCTGTAGACAAATNTAAATACGAATCACAATATCGGATTTTTAAATCTCGTAAATAAGAATCGCAACGTACAATATTCAAATCGCGTGAATAAGAATCGCAACACGCAAATATGAAAAGCTATGTTTGATATTAAAATCGTGTGAATAAGAATCGAGATATTAGCATATTCCAGGCTTGGGACCTCTAAAAGGCTTGTCAGAAGCAGCGTCGTTTGAACAACGAAAATCGGATCTATCTGGAGGGCGGGTAAAAAATTCAGAAAATCTTATCTGCTGTGTGTAAAAGGGCAGAAAATAGGTAAAATAAGTAAAAATGAGAAAGGATTGGTAGCTATGTAGCTTGAATTTTCTGTTTCTTTTTGTAAATCAGTGAATTTTCTGAAAAAGCGGAATACTTAAAAAAATGAAATCTTTAGAACATCTGAATTTTTGATAAAAAAGCTGAAATTTAAGAGATAAAAGTGAAAAAAGCGGAAATCCGCTAAAAAGCGGAAAAATCTCATCCCTGAATATATCTTTAAAAAAAAAAAATGGAAGAAAGAAAACGTAACAACGAGATATATAAGCCTACCAGAAAAAACAATGAAAGAATACTTATATTTTTAATCAAAGTAAACGCAACCTACTAAATCTAATGTTTCATTTTATTCAAATAACAATAAGTTAGTAATTCGCCATAACGCATCATACCATATAATTAAACATACATTTTTAATGAAACTACAACGAAAAAAAAAAAAAGAAAAAAAGAAATTATAATCTGAAAAAACCAACGTAACAGTATTGAAAATAGTTGTTTGCGTTAAAATAATAAAAATAATTTTTCATAAGGCATAACTATTTGTGATTGTCCTTTATGCCAATGGCTCTCAATGGGATCATTTCTACAAGAATTGAAATTTTTTTTATTTGTACCATCGATTGAGAATGATAGTTTAAATACTTACCTTAAACAGTTATTAAATTTAAATCCAGGAGTCGGCAAACTTGAAACACAATCGGTAGCCATGATGACAAACTATCCAGCGAAGATGACAATAACTTTTTCTATTTTTTAGAAACTAAATGAAAGTAGAAGTCTTTGCTAGTTGCAAGCGATTTGTTCATTCATGGATTTGCCACAAATGATGAAAATATAAGGGTCAATCTCACTAGACGTAATTAACGCACCTCCAACGCAAACCCAAACAACCAATCAAATTCCAACTTTTGCTTAAAAAGGGCGTGTGAATTGAATGCAGTAAAAATTCCTTAGGCATTCCTTTGTATTCATGATTTTTTTTTGTCAAATGCTAGAGTTAGAGCTTTCAAATAAACAAAAATAAGCATTCAAAACCTTTTTTATTCCAAATTTTAAAAAATTTCCTAAGTGGTTTGTTATTTGTTAAAAAATATTCTGAAAAGTATATAGTTCTGATATATTTAAAAAAATATTTGGTTCTAAATAAAATATATAGTTGTAATAATTTGCTAGTATTTTTTAATTGGGCATTTTAAAACAAATTATTGCAAAATTTGATCATTATTTTATTATTTAATGTAAGTACATCTTTTCCGTAAAAATGCATTTATGATTTTGTCTAAAAAAATTTATTATTGTTTTAGAAAATGTCTAGCCTTTTACAAGATCCTCATAGAATGTTTATTCAAATTATGATGGGTAAAAAGATTTGCAGTGCTGAGGAAATTAGAAGATTACATCGTGATTGTCATGAAAAAAATGGCAGTAAGTTTTTTTTAAGGATTCGATGTTATGAAATTTTTGGGGAGATTTCCGTATCGTGATCTGTGGCAGAATAATCGCCAAGTCTTCGCAACTTCTAGGCAGCGGCCCTCGAGAAACTAGAAAAGAAAACTCACAGAAAAGGACCAACTTAAAAGTTATAACTCATAACCACGTCTACATATATTTTTTAAAAAGATTGTCAAGTTTAAAATCCAGTTGGCACCTTGGCAAATCCCGATACGAAAACATCCCCAGTTTTTCCATTGGTTATTCTTTCATTGTAATAAATTTTAATAAGTTCTTATTTCATGTTTTTATGTATATTTCTATGTAGACTGGGGTCTTCAACCTTTTGTGCCTGAAGGTCACATCAATAAGTTCTTTAGGCCATACATCTGCTACCAAAGAAATTTACTAGTTATTTTCAGTATATGTTACTAAGTTTTACAATTTCTTACATGTTGGCATATTATATATTTAATAATTAAAATAAAGAAGGTGAATCGGTTTACTTTTATTGTCTAAAGAACCCTAAATAAGATTTTACCAAACTTAGTAAATATATCAACAGTATAGCTTGATATTAGCAAGAGAGCCTCTTAAGGTCATGTGTTAAAGGGACCTCCTTATGGTTATCAGGATTTCAGGCTACTAACTGGACACAACTTTCTTCAGGCACATTTACCTTGTAGTAGCTTTGCTGATATTCCTTACTGCATTTTATGAGCAGAACATATCAACTTGAAGGGCGAGAATCTCTGGAACCGTTTTGTCTTCCCCGACTTCTTTGTATTTCAAGGCATTCTCTACCTCTTAAGATACCTCTTATTTTTGTGTTTGACTGCAAGTCTTATTAGGCTTAATTAAGAAAATGTAAGGATGTAAATTAAATAAAACAATGTTAAACTTTGTAGTTCTGTTCAAAAAAATCTAAATATAAAGTTTTAGATTGTCTTTATGTGGAAGCAGCATTCATATGTAAAAAATATTTGTGTTTGCAACCTGCAATCCTGAAAGTGCTGATTTGTCAAATCTGTTTCTTTTTTTTAAATTTTTTTTAAGCATTATTTTACCTGATTAGTTTATTCTTTCGGAGTAGATTTCTTGCGCATATGCACCCATTTTTCTCGTTTTTTTTCTTCTTTTTTTCAACATCAATGATAATAACTGCCAATATTAGATTTGGATTGTCCTTGTACGCACAAATACAAGTGATGTAATGATCAAGAGAGTGGGAGTAAAGTTTGAAGTGTTGCACATGCAAAAAATTGTATTCTGTGTTTATTCTTAGCTATCCATTTTTACTTTTTTAAATATGTCGCATTTATAATGAGTCTAAAAAGCTGTTTAACAAATATAATCCTAATGGGAAATTTAAAAATAAGATATGAAATTTGCCTTCAAAATAATTAAGTAATATCAAATTTTTTATTCTTTTCTCATTTCTTTCATGTAAAAAGTTTATGTTATAGAAAGTTAATGCACACACACACACACACACACACACATATATATATATATATATATGTGTGTGTGTGTGTTAACAATTATATTTATATATATATATAAATGTGATTGTTAAATAAATTTTGTTAACAGAATAAACAATTTGATAGCATAAGAAAAACAATTCCTTGTAAATTTATGCGTGTAGTTGTTAATAGATGATAGTTAATTATATATTTAGTTGCACTCTTTCATTGGAAGTTCTGATTTAACTTGATTACAGATTTCAATAGATATATGTAATGTTTACGCAATGTTAAAAAGCCATTATAAAATTTTTCAACAGGCGCAATTTTAAATTAGAATGTTTGATAAACTTCTTGAGAATTATATTATTGAAGCTGTCAAAAAAGTATCGGACTGTTTTTGGAAATTCAATTCCCTTTAAAAGAGTTTTAAAGAAAAACTTTTTTTTTCAAAATTATAGTTAGATCTTAAATAAAGAATATTAATATGAGATCTCTCTTTACTGTCTTGTCATCATGAATCAACAAGTGAGCCATGGAACAATAGCATGCCAATAGTTGAATAAAAAACTGTTGATTTGAGTTGATTGCAATAACGGAACATATTGCTATGCCAAACTTTATATAGATTCATTTATTTGTAGCCTTAATTTTTAATTATTTCTGCCAATTTCAATTAATGAGCAAACTGATTTAACTTATGGTCCCTTTGGGATCCTTACTAATGATTAACTTGGCGCCCTCTATTTATATAATAGCTGAGTTCTGTATATTGTCTAGAACAGCAGCTCCCGAAAGGTGTTCTACGGAAGGATAACAGGCAGGGGTTTTGAGAGTTGGGATATTTTTAACCAATAATAATAATATTTATATCCAATCAATAATCCATAATTTATTTAATATTTTGCTTGTTTATATGAGCTTTTTTGCATGAAACAGGAATGAAAAAAATATTTTGTTTTATAACCGTCGTTGAACAGCCGACCCAAGTTCATGGGTTTACGACTACTTACGTTCAACTCCGTAGCCTTGTAATTTTGAACCNCATCGTTTTTTCTTCTTTTTAAGATTATTTCCGGAAAAAAAATTTTTTAGTTGGGTTTAACAATAAAAAAACGGCTTTTTGTAGCGATTCAGAAAACCAGAAAAATCAGTTATCCGGAATAACGATGGTCCTGATCGTTCCGGATAATCGGTTCCCTACTGTATATATATATATTGCAGTAACAATATATTGAATAAATTATGAAAAGATTATGCATTTATAAATATTTCATAAGTATTTCTTATCAAGCCTTTCAATTCAGAATAAAATAACTAAATTCAAGGAGGAATTTCATTGTTTTCAATATTTTCATTGTTTATAATATGTCTGTTTTGAAAAAAAACCTAGCTTATTTTAATTATTTTCAGCTTATGCATACTCATAATATTCATACTCATAATAAAAAAATTCTTAATATTGAATATTTTGTTCAAAAAATTAAATAGTTACAAAGTAATTAAAAGTTTATTTGGTTACTATATTCACTGCTGTTAATGTAATTTTTTTAAATATTTTTTTTATAATTTGGAAACAGGATGAAAGTGCAAGTTTTTAAACTACTCACTGTTTGTTATTTATTGTTTTAAATTTTTTTGATGCTTAGATTTTTTTTTCTTCTAAAAAATTTGTTTTAGAAAAAAGTGAAAAAGAAAATGTTTCCTACTTAAAATTGTAAAACCTCGAATAGTTCAAGAAATTGAAATAATATTTGAAGTATTATACCAAATAAATATTAAATTTTATTTTCTACTGTAACTATTTTGTTTTAATTTTTGGTTTTTGTTTAAATCCTATAAATTTAATCAAAATATTTAATTCAAATTTACATTATTCATTAAAATGTGTATCTATTTTTTGTAACACTTTCATTCTGTGATCATTAAATTTCTGTTTGTTTGTTAGAATTTATATTTTCTCCCTGTACAGAGAGAGAGACCAATTATTGATAAAAGGGGAAAAATGTTTTAGAAAAAGTATTAGTTTTTTCAATTTTGAATGAATTCTAACAATTAAAAGCATTTAATTTTCTGAAAATATGTTACTAAATTTACTGATAAAGAAAATTCAGTGCTTAAAACACATATATATATTATTTATGCAAAAATTATTGTATTACCCTGCCATGTTACTTTGGTCTTTCATTAACCAACCTGCTATGCTAGTGAAAAGGATTGTGCCCTACATTAGAGCATGGTTTATTTCTACACAACTCTTTGTTCATTTCTTCTTTTGCAAACATATTCTCTCCACTAAATTATAGGCAAATATACTCTTTCTCTCAATAGTCATGTTGAACAAAGTTTATTCACAAATCATGTCTTTCGATGAAGTATTTCATTCTCCTTATAAATTGTACTGTTAAGCTGTTATTCAGATTTATAAATTATTTTGTAAATGACTTGTTTTTAAGTGAATAACCATCATGGTTCCTTTTTAATTCTTAGTTTTAAAAGAAGTAATCTACTAAATGATTTATTACTTTCCAACAGCTCAGCGTGGTGATTTGAAAGAATTTGTTGAAAAAATTAATAATGCAATCAATCCTCATAATCTGGCTATTAAAAAAGGAAAGGATGAAATATCAGGTGAAGAGTATTATGTTCTGATCAATACAGCAAATGATGAATTATCAAGATTAAATACAATATATAAGTCGAAGGATTTAGAACTTTTTAAAAGAATCGTAAGTATAAATTGAATCAGTACAAATTATGCTTGATAAATATGGTGGAACCTCGGTTAATCGGACACTCTTGGGATAAAAAAAAAAGTCTGTTTAAGGGAAGGGTACGTTATTACGAAGGCTAACTCCTTAAATTGATTTTAGATGAAGTACTATGATATAGAAATAATTAAATAATCTTTAATAATTATAAAGATCGATATTTATTTATACTTAACAAAATTATAATGCTTACAGATAAATGAGTACAAAACCATCTATGATGAGATTTGATGTATATAAATGTCTTAATTTTCTATTTATCTGGTTTAAAAGAAAGATGTGATAGAAGTTTTTTTTTATGGTACATTTTTAAACCATTTAACATTTTTACACCAATTTGATCATTTTTGGATAGGTAAAAATGTCTCAGTTCCTCAATACCATTAGAACATCATATAAAGTTTTCACTTTTGGTTCTTCTTTAGAAAGTATTTTTGAATGCCAGTTTTTTAATACTTTAGTACGGAAACAGTTTAAAAATATTTTTAGTTATGGATAAGACAAAAAATTGACATGCTTTATTCGCTTCGAGGTACATAATGGTTTATTCATGGAAATTTCAGGTGGCATTAAAAGATGCACGTAATGAGAGGTATTTATTTTCTAGGAGTGTCTGTAATGTGAGGATATACTGTATATTCTTACGGTTTCATTTGAATTAATTTAGATCAAGCAAAACCTTTTTTACTCGGCACACCACCTTGAATTTGAATTTCTTAGGTGGTTATGTAACCCATACTTTGTACCATTAAATTATAATCATTGTTAAACTATGATAAAATAACCTAAACTTAATTTGCAATGTCCTTTCAAGAGTTGATACACATTCAAGAATTAAAAAGTGCAGAGTGGAACAAACACTATTGTTTAAATAGTTTGTACATAACGGAATAACAATATTTATTTGTTAAAAAAAAAGGAGGAACAATCTAAAATTCACTCATGATTTAAAGAACAAATCCAAATTGCAGTTGTTCTCATGTGCAGTTTCTAATTAATAATGTTTTCATTAGGTATTATATAAATCACTTCCTATGGTCCTTCTTATGTGAAGGATCTGTATCACTTTATGTGATATTTTGTACTAAGTACTTGAAAGTACCTAGAATTTTAAATGATGAAATCATGAAAATAGTGAGTATATTTATATAAATTCTTTTTTGAAGTATTAAGTTAACTAAAAAAAAATTTTCAGTTTAGAATCATATCAACAAAGAGCAAACATAGACTTCGATTATGTATCGATTTTGTATCTAATTGTATCATTATATTAATCTGATGAAACGATTACTCTCTGTTCAAACTTGTTTCTATGTCCCTATTAGTTTCACCACTTTGCAGGTGTTTGTCTCTTTACTTCTTTTCTATTATTTGGTGTAGACTTAGAGGTTGGGCAGCTCCAAAGAGCAGGGCATATCGGCCAGAGGTCTATTGTACCCAAACCCTAAATCATGATTAGCATGAAAGCCCTATAGCTGAAATAAAATTCAGCAAGCACCTTACAGGAATATCCTGCAGTTTCCAGATTTTAATGCAATGCTGCAGTAAATGCTCAAATCTTTGAGCAGAATACACCTCACAATCACAAAGTATATGTCGTGATGTCTCTTCTTCAAGATGACAACTTTGACAAAGAGAATTGGATTCAGTTCCCATTATGTATAGGTGTCTCCTGAAGATGCAGTGTCCAGTAAGAGGAACAATGATCTTCTTCAAACTGTTTCTATTAAACTTTAAAAGCTCTTTTTTGTCGTATGCTGGGACAGTCACGATTCAGCTCCTTAATTTGTCTCTGACTGTCAGCGATGCGCCATCGCTCATGGCAAATTTTGCCATAGAGCTTGAATATAGATGCCCTAAAAGAGGTGGGAGAAATTCCCCATGCAGGTTCAGGGCCCCAGAAAATTGCATTAGAGCCAGCCCGTGCTGCTTCATCAGCTAGCTCATTTCCAAGAATACCTATATGTCCAGGTACCCAATGCAGGTATACCCTGTTATGAGTAGATAGGTCACAGAGGACCGAAAAACATTCCCATACTAGCAAAGAGGTGAATTTACACTTCGGCAGTGATAGGAGAGCAGTCTGACTGTCAGAACAGATGCGGATAGTCATATTTTGATATCCCCTGTCTAAGCATATCTTACAGCACAAGATGATGGCATAGACCTCAGCCTGAAAAACAGTGGCATATGTTCCCAAGGGAAAGTGAAGTTTGGTACCATCATTGGAGCAATAAATTCCTGCTCCTGATTTGAGGCCAAGCTTTGAACCATCAGTGTACCGTATTAGACATTTGCCTTTAAGCCTCTGAGGAGAATTAAACTACTCATCTCTAGTAGGAAAATGGATCTTGAAAGGCTTGTGAAAAGCATATCTTCGTGACATATAATCACTAGGCATAAAAGAGAGTATATCCATCACTTGTGAAACAAAATAACCCCATGACAAGTGTTTGGAATACTCTTTCCATAGGCCAAGGTACATAAGACGCTTTATGCCTGTTTGAGCTTCGACTTCAATAAGTAAATTCAATGGAAGAAGCCCAAGCAAGCTCTCAAGAGCAGCTGTGGGCGTGGTCCTAAGACAGCCTGACAGGGCTACGCAGACCATTCTTTGTAGTCTATTAAGATTAGACCTGGCAGAGCTCAATCTAGTCCTTGACCACCAGGCAATTGCGCCATATGTGATAATAGGACTAATAATCATTGAGTATATCCAGTAGACTATTTTGATGGATAATCCCCAGGTTCTACCAATAGCATTTCTGCAAGACCAGAAAATCTTCCTGGCCCTACTGATACAGTATTCTAGATGATAACCCCAATTAAGTTTGGAGTCAAAATACACCCCGAGAAACTTGACTTTCTCTGTGAGTTCCAATTTATAGTCTAGGTAGTATACATTACCTAGATCAGGGCTGTCCAACTGGAGGCCCGCGGGCCGCATGCGGCTCTCCAACACATATTGTGCAGCCCACCAACTTCTTATTCAGGCTGATTGGCCTCAGTTTTCCCATTAAAATGTAAGCAAATTGTTTTATAATCCTTCTGTTCCATTGTTTTATAATTAATAATTCAACTATTAATTGTTATTGTATAAGAGGTAAGAGGTTATTGTTCAACTTTTTCAAACTGCGGCCCGCCAGGTGATCAGTGACCGGAATTCTGGCCCATATGCTCTTTGCAGTTGGACAGCCCTGACCTAGATCAAGATGCCTTTTTCTTGTGAAGGCTACAAAACTTATCTTGGACAGGTTGACAGATAAGCCAGAGTCAGAGCACCATCTAGCTACTTCTAGAAGTGCATTATTCATGATATCAGAGACTGTTTTACCATGGTTGCCTCTGACAACAATAACACCGTCATCAGCATTCCCGACACAGGGAATGCTAAGATCAGTTAACTGAACTAACAAAGAGTCTATAACCATACACCATAGGATAGGGGACAAAACCCCTCCCTGAGGGCATTCTGAGGTTGCACGCACCCAATAAAGAGGAAATTATTTGGTGCATAGACATTAGGGAAGGTTCTTGTTTATTGGACTGAAACTTTAGCATGCTCATTTCTGTACTATTCATATTGTTTTCTTTCTTTAGTAAATGTAGACTTTTAGAAAGCGAATTGTTCCACAAGTTTCCTATGAAAACACTTCAAAATTTCTTAGCATTGTTGATAGCCTCCACTATTGACCCCACTTAGAGGCAGACTTGGATAAAATAAAAAACCTTCCGTGAACACAAAATCTTAATTACAGTCGAACCTGTTTAGCTCGAANGTAAAATTTACCATCGTTGAAATTCAGCTTTTTTGCCTTTTGGCTAATCTCATCCCTGGATAAAATAAAAAACCTTCCTTGAACACAAAATCTTAATTACAGTCGAACCTGTTTAGCTCGAATCTCACGGGACGGGCGAAAAATTTGAGATAAGGAGGTTTCGGGTTATACAGGTACTTTAAAAGAAAATTAAATTTAATTAAGAATTTCTATTAAAAGTGCTTTAATTGTTTTTAGTAGAAAAAATATAGACATTTCTTTAAATTAATTATACCACATTAATCTATTTACATAAAAAATTTTTAATGTACATTTAACACTAAAAATAATTTTTCTAAGATTTTTGATGTATAACCTTATTTGTTTCGATTTTTCTTTTGAGGTTAGAAAAAACGCAAATCCCTCATAGCCAACACTTTCCTGGAATTCAAGAATAGTTTATAAGAATTCTACAGCCTTTTCTACCTCTTTTGCATTCACTTTTGATTCATTAATCTGATCTTCAGCTTCTTCCTCTTCATCTGTATTCCTTTGACAATATCTATGATTTCCGCATCGGTCAATGTTCCGCACGTTGCTAGGCACTTGTAAAAATCTTCTAAATTAATGTCAACATTAAATCCAGATTTTATTACATTCCATTCTGGCAAATCTGGCACTGCATTTTCAGCATTAACAGTTTCTTCCTCTTTACTGATGCCTTCAACCTCTTATTCATCATCTTCACAGCTATTCTTAAAACCAGCATTTTAAAACTATTTTGGATAGTTTATACCGACACATTTCTCCAGACAAAACAGTAATTCTGATGGCATCTAACTTTTTTCATCGATGGCGCCTACAAGTTTGCTTACCAACTGTTTTCCGTAGTTCAGTTTAAAACTCTTAATTATCCTTTGATCCATGGGTTGCAATTTTGAGATGAAAAGGAATTTCTATTCTTAGCTTTCTTATTTGTGTTGAAAAGCTGACTCCTGATGGTCGCTACTCATTAACCCCACTCTTACTGCCAGAATCGTATTCCTTTCCAGTTAAGGAAGTGCAGGAATAGTGATTGAAATTCCAAGAAACACCCCCAACCTGTTCATCCCCACTTCCTGTGGATTCACGAAATTTATCTCTGTCTGCGAGTTCGACCGATAAAGAATGTTTTGACATTTATGCTCTATTATTAGAAATTCGAAAAACGGAGGTTTTGAAAAAAAAATTTCGACATAAACATGGAAAATACATTGATTTTAGTCACTAAATGTAGGGAATTTTAGAAATTTTGAGATATAGAGGTTTTCGAGATAAAGAGGTTCGAGATAGACAGGTTCAACTGTATAAAGCTTTCTGCTAACAATTATAATTAATTCTTAAATATTGCAATATTTATAAATTCTTAAAACTATTTTCAACCTATTTTGGCAAAATTTATTTAAAAATCATCAATTTTTTTCAAATATGCTTTAAATTTTAAAAACTATTTATCATGCATACCAGCATGCCTGTAATCACAGGAAAAGAATGGCTGTGCAAAATAGAAAAAAAAATTTCTCATAACTTGATATTTTTTTTCTTTCTAAAAGGTCAATTTCTGAAGTCAATTCACAGTCAGATCAAATTCACAGGTCGATTTCTGCAAATTGACCTGTGGGTTAAAATTGGAAAATTTAGAATTTTTTTTTAAATTTTTAATATTACATCACGGAAATTTTTTTATTTTCTGCGATTTTATAACCGGTGTTGAACAGCCAACCCAATTTTTGATTTACAACTACTAATGTTCATCTCCGTAGTCTAGTAACTTTGAAACCAATCCAAAAGACAAGGGAACTCCTGGATCAAGTATCGGGAAAAATTTGCTTTCTTTGAGGACTTTTTGATGGAACTCACCCGCATTTGCATTACATGGAGAGGAAAACTATGAAAACCTCTCACGGTTAGCCTGACGGTAAGGGGACTCTAACCCATGATCCGCCTACCACTGATATTTTACGCCAGCACTGTTATTTAGTGTGAGGCGGGTGCAGAATTTGTATCAACCAGCTATCTCTAGAATTCAAACCTGATTCCCCTCATTGAAGGGCAAATGCTCTATTCTCTGATCTGTGTTTAAAAATATTGACTGCAGGGTAAAGTGACTGTTTAGAGTGTAAATTTTGAATGTTTTTTGCTTACAATGAGCGATACTAAGAAATTTTCTGCCAACAATGTTTGCACGTTTGTGTATAATATACATAATTCCTTAAAGGTGATTTGCGTAGGCGAAGATGCTAACTTCACTTGCCTCTCAGACATGGACTATACCAACACCATTTTTAAGATGAAACACAAGATTGCTTCCCCCAAGATCCTTGAACCCAGTACTCAATCAAGTAAAGCCAAAGTTGTATGTCCATTTGGCATGTTACGCACTATTTAAAATTTGTGTTCTGAAGAAAATTTCAGAATAGCTTACAGTTTGCGAAGAACTTAAAATTAAATGAAGATATAATTAATAATGTACTAAGGAAACTGTATTCAGGTTTTATGAACGTTTTAATTTTATTGCATAGCACTTAAGGGGAAAAATGCATTATGTTCATTTAAAATGATGTTTTATTAAAATCCTAAGCCTATTCTAATTATGTTATGTTTTAACATGGCTCCTTTCTCAATATTATTAAATGACTTACTAACACTTGCTAAATTTAAATGAATGACATTATTATTTAATTCCAGCTATCTAATTACAATAAAATATTTCTTAAAATGTAGAATTTAAAAGAAGCTTCGTATTTTTAGATAATTGGTATTGTAGAATCTGAAGATGGAAAAGTGTCATCTTCTACTGTATTAAACAATGCAAGTGCTGTGGATATTAGAATAAAAGATGCAAATGAAACTATTATAAGATTTAATAAAGATGGATGGTTACTTGAGGTAATACATTTAATCTTTCCATTAAAAAAAAAACCTTTAATGTTAAGATATTTATATGAAGCATTTTTGCTAAAATTAAACAATAATGATAGCTTTTATTTCACTTCATTTAATTTCTTACCATAAACCAAGAATTTAAATAACTCAAAAATGAATTTTAAGACTTATTTATTTTAATACTTTTTTTAATATTTCCAATGGCCGGCCAATTTAAAAGAACAAAAAGGATAAAATAACAAGAAAAGCAAGGCAAAAGAGATAAATAGAATAGAATGCTTAGCCCATACGGGCCTTAGCCTCCCAGTAGCGTCCGCACACAGTAGTGGAGATGAGCGCAGGACAGACTGATATATGGGGCAAGTCCATGTCCTCCCCAAGGCAACAGAGCTTGCATTTAGGACAGTCAAAAATATTTATACTAAAAAGGTGTTTGGCCAGATTATTTTTTTTTAATACTAAGTAATGTGTTTTAAAACTGATATTTTTTTTAAATTGGTTTCAAAATAGTATTTGTTTGGCTTCTCCATCTGTATCTTTTTTATATTGTGTGCAAACATAAATTTTTTATTCATTCTTTTCAGTATAAGCATGATTAATCAGCTTCTTTAAACTGTGGTATTTAATTGATAGTTTTTATTTTGTTTTTTTAAAGTTGGCTTTACTGTGATGCAGAATGGATGTGGAATGCTTAGCCTAAGGAAATTAAAACGAATAAAGTAACATCTTCAACCATTTTTATTTTATAACCATCGTTGAACAGCTGAACCAATATTTTGGGTTTAGGACTACCAATGTTCTACTCCGTAGCCTTGTCATTTTGAACCATATCCAGATGACAAGGGAACTCCTGGATCAAGTATTGGGAGAAATTTGGATTTCGTACAGGACTGTTTGGCCCATGGGGAGGAAAAGCACGGAATTTGTATGAACCAGCCATAGCTGGAATTCGAACTCGGTTCACCTCAATGGAAGGCGAACGCTTCATCCCCTGAAGGTATCCTTGTGAGGAAAAGCACAGAATTTGTATGAACCAGCCATAGCTGGAATTCGAACTCGGTTCACCTCAATGGAAGGCGAACGCTTCATCCCCTGAACCATCACGGCTTCTCTTCAACCATTAGTGGATGAAGATGTTACTGTAAAGAAATATACCATAATAGTTTAGTATAACAATATTTTAGCGTTTGCATTGTATTATTTGCTGCTTGCATTTTTAAGTCTTATTACTTAATAGTCTTTATTAATAATTGCATTGTCAGCGGTGCCATAATTTTAGAAATTGAAATATTTTGTGTTCAAAAGCTTTTTAATTTAGTTTCTGATAAGACAAAACCAAAGATTATGTATGAATGAACTGTCATATCATTCTTACTTATAAAAAAATCTACAAGATTATTTTATATACCAAAAATGTTAACATTTTGTTTTATGTACATAGCAAGAAGGCAGCCTATATTTTAGTACAAGGGCTATTGTTGAATTAGAGCATTTCTTGATGACAAATTATGGAGAACTTGTCTCCCGCTGCTCTGTTTGTAAAAACATTGTATTGCAGGTGAGTGATGTTATAGGTATCCTTGTGAATAAAAATCAGATGTTTTTAAAAAGATAAGAAAAAATTTATTTTTTTCCTATAAGTTTCAATTTATGTTTCTTTTTAATACTTTGCTTAAATTTTATTAAAATTTTCTTGCATTTCACATTTTATTTAATTGCTACAAAAATGAAAATCTCGCTTTTTTTCCCCTTTTTTTAATCGTCAATTTATGATACAATTTCCCAATTTTTAATGGGCTTGTTTCAGATTAAATTTATTTAATTAAAAAATGATGTCTAATTTGTTTCCTTTTTACATTTATTGGGGCAGTCTGTAAAAAGAAAATCGACAAACTTTCTCTGTGCTTAATTTTAGCGGCTATTTAGAGTATTTAACACAACTTAATTAGTTAAAAAAAATATACAGTGAAACTTCTCAAGAGAGACCACTCTCTGTTCCACAGTAAAATGGTCGTTAAACTTCAGAATTTTATTGAATGTACGATTTTTCGTAATCTATTTTAATTTTACTTAGTGACGTTTTCTTGATGCAGAAATACCAGTTTTGTTGGCTTCACGAAAACTGGATAAATGAACAAAATTTATCGCCAATAAAAATGACCCTTATTGATCGAATTATGTGTAAAAACAAATTTATCTATTATGAATGTTAGAACTATTTTAAATAAATGAAAAATTCAGTTTTGTGTCTAAGTTCGCTTTTAATTTTATATCATAAAATTTAGTTTAATAAAAATAAAAGGTTTGTTTGTTTGAGATGGTTAGTTTTTTTCTAAAATAATTTTTTTTTCTAATTATCTTTCAACCCTATGAAAAAAATCATTGATAGCATCATATTTAGTGCACTAACTGTGACTGCAACATGAGGTTGCCAATCTCTTTCAGATATCGTTAAAAAGAGCTCTCTAAATAATGGCCGCTCACAAATATTTTGATCTAGTTATTCGTTTTATTAATAGTTTTTTTTTTTCGATTTTTATTTTTGTATTTCCTTATTTTAACTTTTCTACATTTGGTGCATCAAGGTTCAATCAAAATTAAAATTGCTATCAACTATGCCTAAATTTTCTTTCTACTTGTACTGGTTGATCCTTCTTACAATACTTAAAATCCGTTCTCTCTATACTCACAAATTTTCATAAATGAAAATAAATTTATAAACGAAATTCTGGGACTTAAATATAATTTATGTTTAATATTAATTAAGTTATAAATCCAAGAAGTAAAAATATTTTTGTGTACTTATAGGCTACAGAAATTTTTGTAAAGATAAGATCTTGTGCTAGTAGTATATTTAAAAATTGTAATTTGGTATAGAAATCAATGTCAAATTCCTTTATTGAAATATTTTTTTTTCTGATAAGATTTTTCCTATTGTTATATTTAATATTTGAATTGTAATTTTTTATGGTGTTTCAACGAATTATTTAATAACACAAAAGTTTAGTAATTTTATTTCAAATTATAAAATATCTCTGACATGTTTTATTAATTTTAATTCCCAAAAGTCTTTTACTTGAAAACTTGATTATTTTCTTTTCAAAGTTTTGATAAAGGTCAGTGATTTGTCTTTCATTTGTGGGCAATTTAAAAATCTTTATATAATTGCAATAAGTGGATAAAAGTGTATTATGACAAAACTTTACACAAAAAATGAATGGAAAGTCATAGAAATAAACATTATTTAATAAAACTCACACACACACAAAATTATCTGAATCTTAAGTTGTAATTTATAATAGCTGTTGGACTCTTCCAATTTAGCTGAAATCAGTTTTTACAACCAATTTTTTATAATTTCGGTAATTTGTATACTTTGAATTCTAGCTCAAAATAGCTTTATTTTTAATAATTGGTTTCATAAGATGATAGATGGCTTGGCCATGGGTAATCCATTTATTTCTAAACTAAGTGATATTTACATGCATTATTTTAAACTTTAGTTTTTTGAGATTATATAGTTTTTATTCTACACTCATTATAATGAAGACTGTTTTGCTGAAAGACAAATAGAAATTAAGGAAACTTTGAACATTCTAAATTTCATAGACCCGTGCATTCAATTTACAGCTAAAAGAGAATCGGACAATTTACTTCCTTTTCCTAACTTTCTAGTAACCCCCGTAAAGAGAAGTGTCTTAAAACCGTTGTGCATCTCAAGCCCTTTGCTGTTTCTTTTGTCATCCACCCAATCAAAAGATTGCAGCATTTAACGCTGTCAGAGCTCTTAACATTTGTTCTTTATCTAAGTAAATTGGATCAACTTAAAACCATTAAAGATAAAAGTTTCCCTCCCAAGGTAATCAATATTATTAAAAAGATTTGTAGCGTATCTACCACTACAAAATTACAACTACAATTCACTAGTATATAAGACATGTTAACTCGACTCTATGTTGGGGTACCTTTTCATAGATGACGGTTGACATGGTCTGTAACTACTCTCCCCACATTGGTGACCCGGACGTGATGTGAACACGCCTACCTTGGCAAAAACGCCCACTTTGATCTGGATACGCCTACATCGGCAGTAACGCCTACTTTGTTGGATGGTCCACATTGAACAGTTGACTTGCTACTTGTGACTGCAACAGTATTCACCTCCTCGCACTGTTGCTACTCAGCCTCGAGCACACAACGTTGGCTTGCATACACTCGACTGCTAACGGCAACACAGGAGCGACTACAACCGTGAAGTTAATACACCTCTCACATTCAGCACTAAAAAAAATACGGTGTTCTTAATACAGCTCTCCCGGCTTCGCACAAAACAGCAATGAATCAACTATTGGCATCCATTCATCGAATTCTATCATACCTATAATTCTGGTGGGGGAGTACTGTAGCGTATCTACCACTACAAAATTACAACTACAATTCACTAGTATATAAGACATGTTAACTCGACTCTATGTTGGGGTACCTTTTCATAGAAGGTTGACATGGTCGAATACTCCTCTCCCCAGATTTCTAAATATGCTTACAATCCTAAGCATGAATATAACAAACCCAGATATCTAAAATTCTCTCAAAAGACAAATTCAAAATTATCTTTTCTCTGTACAGTTTTTTGAACCTCAAACAACCTATTAAATATGTTAACAAACTGGGGAATATACAAAATTTCACACCAATGAGGTTTATCATACATAGAACAAACTAAACGAACACTCAAACACCGGCTAAAATCGAAGCTATATCCAGAATTTCACCATTCATCCATTTTAAAACATTGTTGGACAAAGGGTTACAAGTTTGATTCATATGTAAACCTGGTTTTTTGGGAGAGTTTATACATCATCAAAAACTCTAAATGACCTAACAATACTCTCTCTCTCTCCATGATAACAAAAATGGTATATAATTGTAAAATTATATACCATTTTTGTCAAATATTTGGAAATCCTATTTTTTTTTTTTTAATTTTTCAATCTTTTGTCATTTTTACTCTTAAACTCTACATTTATCTCTTTAGTATAATGTAGTTTAGTCCTCTGTTGAATTAAATCATCTGTTTTTACCATTCCTGTCTTTTATCTCATTGATGAAGGTGTACTATTTGATACCAAAACACATATAGGTTTTAATAAATTTTACACATTGTTCTAAATGCATTTTAATATTATCACATAGCATTACTCTTGTAATTTTATTTTATTTTGTGTGTTACACTAATTAATAGGAATTTTTGTGTTGCATTTTTTTAACAAATTGTAGAAATATTAACAATTATTTTGTTTCTTTGCTAGGGTGTGAACTGTGCATCTTGTGATACAAAAATCCATTTCCATTGCAAGGAAAACTATTTCTCAAAGGTTGCAGTCAACAATACGTGTCCTGGTTGCAATGAACACTTTGAATGAAAGATAATTTTATTATTTACATCACATAATTAATTTTTTACAGAAGTGCATTTCGTGCAGGCTAAGCTTTTGCTGTTTGAATTTTTAAACAATTTACATTGAAAGAATCTCCAGCATATTTTGATACTAATTCTAACATGGCTAATTTCTTTTGTGGACATCGAGAGGATTCCAATTCGTAAAGTGTGCAAACATTAAAAATCAAGCCATCGTGTAAACAAGCAGAAGGTGATTGTTGAATGGCTGACTCCAGCAGCCTTAAAGATTCTTTCAACTGCCCCGTGTACAGTTTACAAACTGCCATGTTATTCACAAGCTAAAAGAGAAAATTTTTTTTAATTGCATTGTAAATATCTCTTTATACTCAAATAAAATGAAAACTATTTGTATTTTCCTTACCATAGCATTTGGTTGGAATGAATTAGCTTGCTCAAAGTACTTAAAAGCTTTTTCATTTTCGTCGCAGGCAACAGCAAGCAAAGCACTAAAATATTTTAAGAAAATAGGTCATTGCTTATAAAATATTGAGTAAATGCATAGAATTAAAATTTTTATGTTCGAAATTAAATGTTATGGCTATGCATAATATTATAATTTTTTATAACATTAATCATATTTCATTTCTATAACATTAATCATATTTCATTTCTATAATGATTTCTCACTCAAATTTGATAAAATTTATATATTTATTCCTAACTATTTATTAAATTTTGATGTTATAACATTTATTAGGAATTTAGAAGTCATTCTTCAATTTAAGAATTAAAGAAACCACACATTCCTAGATTAATTAAAAATTTAATATGCTCTTAAAAACAAGTTTTAAATGAAGATATTAATGCTTTAAAATTCTGTTTATATAGCTTGCACTTTAATTCCAAAATACGAAATTCCTAGGAGCCAGGGTGAATTTTTAGGAGCCAGCATGATATAAGAGTGCAAAGTAACATAACAACTTTTTGCTTTTCTGTTAACATATACCATACCAAAATATTAAGCACCACTTAAAATTATTTAGGTGACTGTGCACTTGGGATTTGTAAATCCTTGCTTTCATCAGTTTGATATTTCATGGGCATGTAACAGCTAAATTTCTTTTCTTTAAAAAAAAAAAAAAGGCCTATAAAAAATATATTTTAAAATGAGTTAAATGCTTCACTACTATAATTTTCATGATGGAAATATAGTAAGGTCATATTTAATGTTTTTTTTACTTCTTTTTTACAAGAATTATTACTTCCAATTATCAGTTCCTGTTAAAAACTTTTTTGATTAATTTTCGTATAAAAAATGATTAAAAACTAAATTTATATAGTTCAATTTTGAAGAAGTTTTGTTCAGGATTTTTTCATTGTCAAGTGAAAATTTTTTTTAAAGTAATTTGAAGTAAAACTACTTGCATACCTTAGTAAAAGGATGATCAGATTTTATGTTTGGAACGGCACGAATTTACTGTTGTACACAGTGTAGACATTTGTCTTTAATTTAAAGATTTTTTTCTGCTTAATTCAGTAAAAGTAAAAATCAAAAAATTTTTGATTACATTTTTTAGAAGTAATTTGTAGACTTGATAACAATAAGATAAACAAAAATGAATAAGTTTGTTAATGATGATATGTAATGACTGTTATTTATAGTATTCACTCTGGTATACATTTTTAATAAATTATTTTAGTTGCAATATTCCTTTTTACCTGAGGTTGGATCCAAGTCCAAATGGTAACATCTGTTCATCAACGATCTTAATTTTTTTTTGTTGATAAATACATTTTTTAAAACCTTTAGATTAAAACAGTTCAATGTTTGAATATTAAATGTCATTTTTTATCCACTGCATACTTTTGTTAATTTTTTTTTTAATTTTTTTACCATTCCTTTTGAGTTTAAATGATAAATATAACAAAACTTAAAATTTTTAAAGAATTATACTTTTGTAAAAAAAAAAGAAAAATAGACTAGGTTTTTTTACCCATATCTTAATGTCTCCATTGAATAATTTCAAGGCAGGGTTGGGTTTTTGCCGTCAAAAACTGGTTTTTGACATGACAGTGGTAAAAACCGTGTTTTTACCGGTCAAAACTGTCAAAAACCTACTGTTTTCTTTAATTTATGGCATATAGCGGACAATATATTATTTTCACTTAAGTGCCTTTATAAATGAATTTGTAAACAATTGCTATTGGTTTTGCAACTATATACATGTATTCTTATAGAAGGATATACATTCATACAGAAATATTGTAATATACTTATTGAAAATAGTGATACTTAACTTTTATGATTCTAGCTTGATTTGCAAAGGATTCAAAATTTTGCACTTCTTAATTGTTAGAAATAAACAAACAAAAAAAAACTTGGAACTATTAATTAATTCAAGAACTAAAATGAAGAATTTAAAATTTGGCATTTCTTAAACATTAGAAATAAGCTAAACAAAACTTTCAAAAGTTGTAACTACTAACAAACTCTAAGTCAGGAATGACTTGACATTCTTCAATAATGTAATATGCCTAACAAAATGTTGCTTGGAAATGTTGAAAATTTTGTTCAGTATCCTAATATTTTACTTCAAATAGTATGATTTGATATAATCATGTTGGGAAAACGCAAAAATCTGTTTTTAAATATCTTTTAACAACTTTTTTTCTAATTTTATTGCCCCAAAATGAGTTAATTTTAAATCATAAGCGGTTAAACTCAAATTAAAATACAGTTTTATCAAAACTATGGGTTTTTGACATGACGGTAAAAACCATGGTATAAACCGGTAAAAACCGTCATGTGTCAAAAACTTGCCAACCCTGTTTCAAAGACAGTAAATTAGGTAGTGACATGATTTTTGTTCCTTTTTAATAAAAAAAAATTATGCATCTGTTAATTATGCAGTTTTATAACTAAACTGAATTTTTCGTTGTAATTTTTCATTAGCTTTTCTTAATGTAAGTAATTATTAAAATTACAATTAACTTCGTTTAGAGATTAAGAGACCAGCTTTTATCATAATCAATAATTAAAGGATAAGAAGTATCCTTTATTGAATACTAACTTGTTGATATTTTCTTCCACTCTAAAATCTGTGGAATTATCTTTGGCAATTGTTGTGGCTTTCCTAAAATAGCTTTCAGCACTTTGCACATCACCAAGCTACAATAAATGGAATTTTTATGTATATATTTAAGACCTAAACACTTTAAAAATATAATATTTTAATATTACCAGGCTTTATTTTTTTTCTTTCAATTTTGATTCGTTGACTTTCCTTATAATATTTTAATTAAAGACACTTAACCAAAATCTTAAAAAAGCAATGGCTATGGAATAATTTTAAAAAAAAACTATAAAAGCTAAACTTGAATTTTTCATTTGTACTTATTCTACATGTAAATAATAATGAACTAAAATTACATTATTAAGTGCATATGTTACAGAGACATCATCTGTATAAAGAGCATGATAGTCTTGATTTTTCTGAAATATTTTCCCATCTCAAGATATGTCATTTTCCATAATTTTCGAAAAATTCAAAAAATTAAACATAAAATTTTAATAAAAACAAAAATATTTAATTAAAGCATTTAGTTAACATCGTGCTATAAGATAGAGAATTTCCTCATTTTCAGATAAGCAGTAATTTTTTTCTACAACTATAAATGTATATTATAATAACTGTTAGTTTTTGGTGTTACATCCCACATTTAGACTGAATTTAAAATTTTTAGAAATTTAAGTTGCATTATACAGACTTTTCAAAACATTATTTTTTTTAAAATTTTCTAGCAAATTCACTGTTTACGAATGAATATGATAAACATAATACATTGTTCAACTGGACTGTATTTAGAAATTAACTTTTTCAATTTTTTTTCCTTCAGTTTACCAGTTTTTAGCAATCTTCTGTGTCGGAACAAGAATCAAACATAGGCATTATTTTATATTCATAACGTGGGGTTAATTGATCATCAGATTATGAGTTAGGTCCAGCACAAGGACCAGTTTAACAATTATAATTATGGTCTATAATTTTTTACTGTGTTTGTTATTGTATTTAATCTATGCAATTTATTACCAATGGCTTAAAGAATTATAGTTTGTCTGCGGTAAGAACTCCCCCCGCCATAAAGTCTGAGGTCATCTGTTGCTACGGAAACAAGAATAGCGCATTTCAGGGAGGGTAGTTCCTCTTCTCTCTAGGCATAACACAATAGACCAAAGAAAAAGATTCCCTTTCTTTTGCTGACCTTTACCTAAAACCTTTCCTAAGCAAGACCCCAAACCCCTACTTGAAATAGTTACACCTCGTTACCATAGTCACTGACATAATTATGCAGGTTAGCATAATATAATTAATTATGCAGGTTAGCAGATTTATAAAAACTTTTTTCTCTAGTTACATGCAATACAAGTGCATTCAAATAAAGTTTTAATGACAGTACCAAATTTATAAATATGAGAAAATGTTGCGAAAAAAAATAAGGCTCAATTTTTCAAAAACAAGGCGTAATGAATTCTAAGATGTCGTATGAAATAAAATCATTAAAAAAAAAACTTTTCTATGGTTCTGTGCAAAAAATTAAGAAATAAAATATTTTAATATAACTTCTAAGAATTCAGTTGATGTTGCTTCAGTTAATTGTCTAAATATAACATTCAATTTATATAAAGTTTATCTTAAAATGTGTTGTAATAATTTCTTTTAAAATTTGTAAAGAAAGCAGATGAAAAGTCGCCAGTTTACAAACAATAATAGCATCATATAAGCTGCTGACTTTTCATCTCCTTTCTTTAAAAATTTCTTAATAAATTCTTGCAACACATTTTAAGATAAACTTGATAAAAAATGAAAAAAAATATTTCTGGAAAATTAACTTAGCTTATGTAAACTTGATTCTTGTAAGTTACACTAATATTTATTTTTAATTTTTAGTTCAAAACCATAGAAATGTTTTTTTTTTAAATATTTTATTACATAAAAAATAGTATAACTAGAAATTTAGATAAAATTTTTTTTCTCTCATTTTGATTTTAAGATATAAATTACACTTACTTGCAAATAAATTCTGCCTAATGCAGAGTGAAGATGTGCTGTATCTTTCCCACTTTTCTCTATCAAGAGTTTTGCTATAGAAACAGCTAGAATATAGTCCTATTAAAAAATTTACAGGTTATAGAAACTTTATTGTTTACTAAACCACATGATTAATTACTAAATGTTAGAAACCGTGATGAGCATTAAACTATAAATTTTATTTTAATGACAATAATTAAAAACAAATGCAAAGCTTCATTTCTTAAAGAATAAAAAGGGCGGTGGTATCAGCTTACAAAAAATACAGTGAGAGCTAAAAAAAAAAATTATTCGAATAAATCTTTGGTTCCTAAGACGCTAAGAACAATATACAACACTTGACATACATTTGCAAAATTAATAAAATTAAGTAAATTAATTTGCTTGATTAAAAAATATGCTTATTACAAAATTTATATAATATTTGCTACAAAAAGGCTATCTTGAGAGATTGTAATTGCATATATTGAGTTTCATATTTACTGCCTTTAAACAAACTGTTTCAGAAATAAAACAGTGGTGCTGCCAACTAATATTTTTGGGAATTCCCATTTTGTGGAATGAAATTCCTAATCTGACCGAATCATAAATATGTGTGCAATTTCATTTGCTTCAATAAAAAAAAAAAGAATTAATTTGTTACTGATATTCCCCAGTATTTTATATTCTTGCCACAAATCTATTTTTGATTTAACGATTATTTGCTTAATTAATTATACTACAGGGTGCGTAGCGTTTGTAAAAAGTACGTAAAGGTGCTTTTTTGGGGATTTCGTTTTTAAAAGCTTTTAAAGGTGCTTTTTTCAGCTGGCGTTTTTAAATAGTGCTTTTTTTTCGAAAGTTTTTTTTTTCTCCAGTGATATCTGGTGGATCCTATGCATTTCACGAAAAATGGGGAGTTTGCTACGTAATCATTCATGCGAACTTCATGTCCTACCCACGTTATGACTTGTGCATGCGCGCACACTTTAAACCGAGACCCGAGTGCTTCAATTCGGATAGAGAATATCAGATCCTTATAAAATGTTTTTCTTTTTAATTTATTTTAATTTTGTTCTTGTTTATTTTATTTTACTTCTAACACTTTTTTTGACGTAGGGGGTAAGGGTACTTTTGTTCTGAGTTCAGGGTCAAGTTGAATTCACTCGGTGATGTGGGAAAGTACTGATTGTTTCGATTTACGCCCGTTTCTTTTTGGGTTTTTTTTAACGCTAAAACTGTTTATAAAAAGTTTTTGTTTTTCAATAATATCATTGATTGAATATTTTTTTTTATTGCTAAACCCCGTCCCGCCCCAAAGGGGGCATCCGGGTATTAATATTTACAAAAGTAATAACATGATGAGCTAAAATTTTCTTTATACAGATGAAAACAGATGATTTCATTGATTGAATATGAATTTTTTGAGTGCTTGAAAATTTTTGTAAAGTGCTTGAAAAGTTTTTAAAAAGTGCTTATTTTTGATTCAAAGATTTGGCTACGCACCCTGTACTAACAAAAGAGCCATGATCGCTTAGTGGCTGAGGATACTGAACTGTTATTATGCAGCTCTGATGTTCGATCCCCTGCCTTAGTTCAAATGTGATTATTGAATCCATGATTTATGCACAATGCTGACCACACTGCCTCAATGAGGCAGTTAGTCAAAAAAGTTTGTAGAATCTTAACCTCATTGAACCCCTTGGCTCACAATAGGCTGTTGGGCAGAATGTTTTACTTTCAAAGTCAATCAAATAAATAATGAACCATTTGATCAATAAATATAAGAAATTAATTTCTAGCGAAAATGAAGAAATAATTTTACACTATCCCATGAATCGAATAACAAATAATTAGGTAATCGAATGCTGAATAAAAATAAAATATCTTGAAAGTGGTTCACTTGTTGTGCTATCTGTAAATCAAAAGAATGAAAATCCAAAAATGCTAAATTCAATTTTATATGGTAAATACATTTGAATAGTGAAATGCAACCTGAAAGACAGTTAAACTTTAAATATAACATATATGTTTAAAAGTTAGAATTATAAATATTTAAATTAAAAAATAATTCCTTTAAAATGAATAAAAAACTTTAAAAGTAGGAGGGAAAAAGTAGACTGACATCACACATTACAGGTCATATAAACGATTGAGAAAGGAAAGCACAAGAGTTGAAGGCAAAGAATAAATTGAAAAATTAGCAATATTAGTTTAGAGAAATATTAACATCAAGACCACTAATTATTTGAAAAAAAATATTTTATATTTGTTCGGTAAAAAAAAAAATTTTTTTTTTGTTAATCTTTTAAGCTATATAAAAAACAATTTCAATTAAAAAAAATCAAAAACGAATTGAAAATTTTGACAAAAGATCAAAAATTGTGCTTTTTTTTTTGTTGATCTTTATTCATAAGAGTATCATGGCTGCAAAAAAAAAGAAAAAATATTTTACGCGATTGAATTTCCTAAAAATCCGAAAAACCATTAATCTAAACTGTTTAACAATTTTAAAACTAATTTGAAATTTAAACAAATTGAGGCAAATTATTTATTTACAATGTGGATGCGGCATATATGAATTCCAAAATATCATAATTCCTTTGAAAATAGTAAAAAAAAAAACTTCAAATTTGACATGAAATAATTAAAAATATAACAACCATATCTAAAACATTTTAATACAGGAATGGTCTATCAATTCTCTAAAAATGTGAGAAATGCCATATTGTTTCAAGTAATAGTTTTTGAGTTCTGACAATGAGAAGCATGCTCGATGATTATTATTTTATTTTTTTTTTAAATATAGAAAGATAATCAAAAGTACTGATAAACATTAAAAGTAGGTTTAACATTTAATTTTGCATTGTTTACGTACATTGTTACTTTCAATAATAGAAAATTTTTATGTGTTTAAAAATTAAGATAAGTTTCTGCAGTAGGTTATAGAATCAATATTTTTTTTACAACTTCATGTAACGTAAGCCTTTATTTCCAACCAAACTGTATTTACTTATTCATTGATACACTTTAAAATTTTTCTAATTGGCGTCTTGTCTCTCAATTTCTGATGAAACTTGCTCAGAAATGGGACAAATTGGCATTTCAAAGGCAGGGAGGAAAATAGATTTAAAGAAGATATAAGAATTGAAACACAGATATCTATCTTTGTTCATCAAAAATGTGTAATACATTTATTTAATTTCATTTAGTTTTCTAAATTAAAGCAAGCATGAAATTTCTTAAATTAGCCAAATGGTGAAGCGAAATTTGCAGAATAATAAAAATCTTTGGAAGCTCACAAGAACTTCCCATCTTGGCTTCCATGGGTAGAAACAATTTTTTTTTTTAGATACTTAAACTTTAGTAAACATATTTTGATAAAAAAAAGTACAATAGAGAAAGAATATCTTTAACAAGATCCATCGTATTTGAATATGAATGCATTGAAAAACAGATTAGGTAAAAGGAAATTAATTACTGTGCTGGTTATATTTGGAAATGAATTTAATCTTGCGAATGTGTAATAGCAGATGATTTTTACATACTTCACTCATAATTATAAAACAGGTTCTTAGAGATTATTAGAACTGCCTTTTAGACATCTTCAATAATTAGTTAGGAAAAAATAAGATATCAAAATTCAATTTGTGTTCTAAATAAAATTTACATTTTACTACTTTTTAAGATTTTTATTTTAGAATTTAAATATGTTTCTAAGTATAATTTAGAGATATTTTTGAAAATGTTTTAGCCTTTTATTTTTTTTATCTTTGAGTATAGTATCAAGATTGGGAAAACCAATTAATAAATAATTTGAGTTAATAAATCATTTGTATTATAATTATAAATTTACAGATATAAAATGAGAGCAATTTACCTTTTGTGCAAGTACACAGTTCAGAATTGAAAATAATACCCCTTTTTCTCTTCGTTTCCAGACTTCTAATGAAGCTAAATAATATGATAATTAAACTTAATGGTTTATCTAAAAGTTTAAATAACGGAAAACATGTTGTTACATATGGCTTTATTGGAAATATTAATCCATATACAATAACGGAAAACATGTAATTACCTAAATTTATAAAAAATAGTCTCATTTTTTTAAAGTATTCACATTAACAGTTCTTTTAACTATGAACAGTATTGAAGTAAATAAAAAAAAATAATTTTACTAATACTAGTTAACTTCTTTATTTCATAAAAAGCTAAGAAATTCTGAGCTAATTAAATACAACAATTTAAAAAGGTAAATGACTACAACGTATTTTAAAAAAAAATAATAAATTGGTGAAACATGTGACATACTATAAAAAGTTATTATCATTATTCTTTTAATTATGAACCAAATACCAATTTAAGTATAATACAAACATATGAAACTCTAATTAATGAATCAATTCTTTTGGTAATCAAATTTATTCTAACTGTTTGAAATCAAGTAACAACATTAACCCTGTGACAGATCAATGAACTGAAAGGGGTCAGTTCATAGATATTACTGATTAAATTAGAGTTTTGGCGGTTTGCTAGGAAGTATAAATCTTAAGCATAACATAAGCCCATGTAAATCATATTACATAAGAAGTAGCAACAATTTCTTTTTGAGTTTAAAATTTACATAATTATGTGTTAATTGTTGGCATCAAATAAATGGAAATTAGGTTGAGGATGAAAGCCAGGTAGTCAGTGTTCGATCTACCTACTCCTCACTTCATATCAGTTACTATAACGTCACAACCTTTGAACCACTGACCCCAAATAAAGTTCTGGTTACAGACTCTTTGCCTCATCACATGAAAAATTGCTGTTCTCCTTTTGTTTATTTCATAAAGATTCTGGTCCTGGCAGGGACATTTTTGTAGAAATTAATAGTTTTATTTTTAGAAACTTGGCTCAAGTAGCAAATCAGCTGAAAAGTCTATTTTTCTTCATGTACAGTGTACACTAAAGAATTCATATTTTTTTACTTGTGATGTTCTTTATCAGGGTTGCCACTCAAAAGGGAAAATTTATAAAATACAGGGAATTTTAGAGTTTTTCTTCACAAACTGGGAAACTGTAGGGAATATTGTTTCTTATTTTTGTCTTTTAAAAAATGGATGCCACTCAAAGCACAATTTATGGGATATTTAAGGATGATATTTCAGCTATACTTCATTTACTATGGCATAATTTGTTTTAAGTATGTTTCTTTTCAGCAATTAAAAATAGCATAATTAGCTCCAATATAACTCAAATAAGAGCACACTGTTTCCTCTTATATATTGTGTATAATATGTACAGGGAATATTGTTTCCAGTGGAAACCCTGTATACTTAAACAGTACAGCTAAAAATAAAACAAATTACCTGCTTTTCTTTGGTCGGATAGTTCTATCATGCTTCCATCTTCAGCGCAACCACTTTCAACATTGTTCAACATCTGCATTAAAATGAGAGAAATTTTTACAATATTAACTTGTAATATATTAGATTTATAGATAAAAATTATAACCTGCACTTTCTATGAATAAATCATAAAAGTGACTACCTTTTGTACAATATTGAGAATTCGATACATGTTATCCAAAGCAGTTTGATGATTTCCTTGATATTGAGGAAGTTCAGCTAGAAGAAGACGGAGTGCAAATGGTACCATAGAACCTAAAATTGTAGAAATAAGTAGATTATCAAAAATATGGTAGCTTTTATTTCATTAAAATTGTAAAGTGTTGATACGTAAAAGAGAACTTAAGAAAAAGCTTCATTTCAGATATTTATTTGAATAAAAAGTATCTTTGAAATGCTTTGAATGAAAGAATTTTCGAATATCCTTTATTTTTTACAACTAATTTTATGAGTGTGAAAGAAAAGAAGCAGGGCTTGTTTCTTAAAAGGAAAATCTATACAAAATCTGGCACATAAATAATTAATATACTTAGGAAAAATAGTTTACTGCCTTACGCTGATTGTAATAAAAATTAGCCAGTACTTTTAGAGAATCAAAAGAAAAAATTACACACTTTTGCTAACACGTCATTGTTATGAAACCAAAAACGTTACAACTGATGTCTCATTTAACTTTAAAAACAATATAGTTAAAAGATGTTAAAAAATTCCTTATTTAGGTAGGTTTATAATCTTTAACTTCTTAACTTAACCATTTTTTTGTAAAAGATTGAAAATGCTCAAGTTATCTTGGGCTTTTAGGTTAAGGGGTCAACTTGAATGTAATATACTTATTTACCTTTTCTTCCTCTATAAATTTCTGGATAAAATTCATAATACAAATCTGGTTTATCCATTACTCCAAAAACAGCACTTTCGACTTCAGCCAATGAAAACTTTCTGAGTTTAATGAATAAAGCCAAGCGAGTATACCATATCTAAAATGTTGAAAAATAAAAATATATATTTTAAAATTGCTTGAACATTAATTTATAACCATATACTTTAAGGATATATTGTTTAAAAATAAAAACTTTAAAATAAATATTTGTTCAGATTTTGGTTTAAAAACGTTTACGTACTCTTAAAGAAAAAGGAGTATGAGTGCTCGGCTTCCCATCTTTACCAGGACCTTGACCACAAGATGTTAAGAGTCGTTTTGTAAGATTTATAGCTGCATGGTAACATTGTCCTTCCTGTCAATGGTAAATACATTGTTTAAAATTAGATTTATTTTAAAAAATACATTCAAATCCAAAAGAAGATGATATTTTAGTTATGATATTTGCAAAAATGAAACACTGTTTCTTCATACTTAGTAAGGCAAGTGTTTAAAAATAAATTTAAAGAAAAAAAAGCTTGCTATTGTTTAAAACTAAGAAAAAAATCACAGCTCCTTAGTAATTAAGAAGATTGGGTCAGCTTCTGCTCCAAGATAATCTGACAATACTGTTCGAAAAGAGACAACTAAGTTTATTCTGTTTTAATGTTAAGAGAAGAGTTGAGATTATCCATCCCACTCTTTTTGTTATAAATAAACGATTCCAAGTTGAATGAAAATATTTTAAAAAGAAACTTTTCACTTTAATACAAAATATTTTCCACTGCAGCACTAAAAGCATTTTTTATTGTAACTTTTTCATCAAAATAAAAATATCATGGAAAATATTCATTAAGAAATTGAGAATATAATTGGTGCATTTTAAGCAAAATGATCAAACCAGATTCAGTAAGAATGACCCATTCATTCAATTTTATCAAAGTTCCTATTAATCTTCAGATGGAAAAAAAATATTAATTAGTTTTTTCATATGTTTGGAAACAGTATTTATAACAAGTATTGTAAACAAACATAGAGCAGTGTGGGAACTAGCTTTTATTTATAAATGTGGTATATTATTTGCTATTATAGTTATCATATATACTGGCATATATTATAAATTATACAACATCTTTTACACTGATTGCCAAGAATATAGTACTCAGGAAATTCAATTTAAACCATAAACAATTAGGTTTTACGTGATTTTATTTCTATGAAGCAATTTGTAACAACGTTACTGAAGAGCAAATGGTGATCACTATAGAATGTACTAAATGGTTTAATAGAATGTATTTGTGAAGAAATGGAAATTTTATAAGAATATTTTCATTTCTGGAATGTTTGAGATTTTATTGTTTATTAGACAATGAATATTTGTTGAACTGGTAACAAGTTGTTTTTTTTCAGTAGAACTTAAACTTTTTGGCAGTTATACTAAGAATTAGAGCAATATTAAATTAGCTTAAAAAGTACTCAATAAAATTACCTAAAAAAATAAATGTTGATATTACTAGAATAAAATTAATACTTTCTTGTTGTGTACAAAAGCAATTAAATATAATACAGTCAATGCACTTTAGCAAGACTCCCAGTAAAGCAACACTTCCATTATAGTGGATTCATACAAAATATAGTATTTTCTATTCCATTAATGCAAGATTATTCTAGTGCTCATTGAAACATAAGAACTAATTTGTTCATCAGAATAGAGACCAACATTTTTTTTTTCACTTTTCCATTTCCAAAAAGAAAGAAATATATGCAAAGTTGTCGTGATATAAGATCTGAAATTTAGTGAAATATAGAGTACATAGATATACTCTATATTTCCTCTGAATTTCAAAACGTGAAGTATATAAATATACTTCACATTATTGAGAATCAAAGAGATCATTATTGCATCCTCACACAAAAAAATAGAACGTCAGTTTGAAAAACTTGCAAGGAAATCGAAAGTTTGCTTATGTGTAACAATTACACCTACCATCAGCTTTTTAAGACCATTTTCATCTTCAGAAACATCATTTACCGTCAAAGCCTTTCTCTGCTGAGCAAAAGGAGAGTTGCATTCCATCAATAAAAATTTCACAGGATCTTCCTAAAATAAAATAATGTAAAATTTAATCATTGAATTGAAAAAAAATATGGCAAAACATGAAAATTTAAAAAATATTAACTTTTCTAATCATACTAACAAACCAATATTAAAAACTCCAAAATATGCCAAAAAGGAAAAAGACTTTAGAGAAACAGTTTGTGTTTTAAAGATCTCCTTCAATAAAATTTCAATCTATTTTCATATGTAATTTACTTATTGCATGGAGGTAAAAATAATTCAAGCTAAGCAAAGCATCTCAATTAAGTGGATATCATTGAAGCCGCAAAAAAGCCAGGCAACGAAGATTTTAATGAAGAGTTTGTCCTTCAACTACACTTAGTCTAGTGAAGGATGTATACAAAATTTTCATGGAACAAATTTCTTTCTGCATAAAATTTTCATTATTTATTGATAGTAGTGAGGGGAATAAATAATAATGTATTATCATCTTTTCTAAATTTTTCAGCTATGAAATAAAATAACAATTTAAATGTAGAATGCAGGCCTGTGATTCTTCCACTAACTCGTGGAAGTTAGCAATTCTCAAAATTGTTGATTTGCGGAAGTCTGTGAATTAATAATTTATATTTCGTCAAAGTTTTCTCGAAGTTCCTCTAATCTGAAATTAAAATTTCGCTACTTTAGCAAAAACTCGTTAGCTAGACATTTTTCTGCCCTTACAAGCATCTTCCTTTTTTCTTCCTAAGTTCTAATTCCTGCATAATATTGAATTTTTTTTTTAGGCAGATTTGTTTTATTCATAATAGACTGACAAAAATACAACTGTAGATAAACTATGAGAAAAAATTTCCAGAATAACTTTGGCTGGAATGAAGGAACAACTTAGGCAAGCGCAAAAGTATAAAATTGGTGGTAATCTAAAAAATAATTCCTGAAAAGTAAGTATTGAAAGATTTCTCTCTAGTGTTTTTTTTCTTATTTATTTAAAACTTACATTTTAATGAGTAGTAATTTTGTTTCAAATTCTTACTTGCAACAGAAGAATTACTTAACCAATGTGATATATTTGCCTCTTTGTAAATTTGGCTACAATTAGATTGAATTAATTTTTAATATGGTATTACAATGTTTTTTTATACATTATTACATTATATGTTAATGCAATGACAACTACTTAAATACAAAAAAAGAGGAATATGTAATTTTTGTCAATATATATTCTTTAACATGTTGTAGAATGTACTCTCTTTAAATTTTGTAATTATTACTTTTGCGCATAAAAATAAAAGTTTTTAAAAGTCTTCTGTGTACAAAAAGAAAAAAAAAACAATACAAGGAGAAAATAATTTTAAGCTAATTCCTTCTACCAGCAATCACATGACTGACATTGTTTTGGAGTTCACTGAAATGCTAATTACCTATATCTGTTAAGAATTGTAAAATACCATGTAATAAATATCTGCTTCAACCAATGTCTCGTACTTAATATAACCTTGAATGTACTCAGTGAGTTGAGAATGTATCTAGTGACTAGTCTTATTACTAGTGACTATCACTTAATATTAAGGAAATGCCACTTCTATTGTCATGAAAAGACGGATCGATGATTAAAATTTAGTGTCTATAAAAATGATCCCAACCGATATAATTATGCGTAAAAACAAATTTGCCAATTATGAATGATAAAGATATTTTAAATAAATAAATAATTATGTTTTTTGTTTAAGTTTGCATTTAATTCTTTATCATAAAAATTGGTAAGCTTCAAAAGATGAGAAAAGGTTTGTTTGAAATGCTTCTTATTTCTAAAATAACTTTTTTTTTCTCTTCCTAATTTAACTTTCAACTCAAAAAGTAACTCATTGATAGCATCGTCTCTAGTGCACTCTGATTGCAACATGAGGTTAGATCGTCAAAAAGAGCTCTCTCCATAAGAGCCTCTCACACAAATATTATATATTAACCTATTTATTTCTTTTGTAAAATTTTTTGCTTTCATATTTTTTCGTGTTACCTTATTTGACCTTTTCTGAATTTGGTGCAAATGTTTGCCAAGTCGCTGGGAGAGGTTTCAAATAGCCTGTCCTAAAGGTTATTTTTAACATAAGGTCTATGGAAAAAATTCCATGTCTCCTAAAAGTGGTCACAAATAGAGGTGGTATTTCCTAGAAGCTTCACTGTAATAAAATATCTATCTTACATCTAACAAGTTTTTTTTAAAAAAAGATCTAGATATCCAGTATTAAATTTAATCTTTGCATAGATCTAACAAATAAATGCCTAAAACAGACTTGAATTCATGAATTTTCACACAAAATTTTTTACACAAGATATGCTTGAATTTTCAAATCTTTCTCCAATTGTGAATTTCAGAACTCAATTATTTTTTTTAGAAAATGAAACCACATACTGAGTTGCTGAGCACACAACACCAAAATGCTGAAGCACTTTGCTTCGTTTTTCGTGTTTCTTTCTTTTAATGGGACTTAGCTGAAAATTAAGCCAAATTCTATTTCGCATTCCATTTATTAGATCCTGTGTTATGGAGCTGTTAATACTTCAGCTTATTTTAAGAGTACTTAATCTTTCATCAAAACAATCTTAAGCAGAGTTAAGATTAAGTTTTTTCTTTGTAAGTGTTTGTAATCATGATACAATAAAGTAAATTTTTTGTTAAGTCTGTTTGTTTTATTAGACATAAAGACTATTTGCAAAATTTACAATCGTAGTCGGCATTACTTTTCATTGCAAACACCACAGTTTTCAATTTTAATATTTAAAATCAATGCAGAGCTATCTATCCATGCATACGAAAATTGCATAGCTAAGTTGCCCAACTTGAAGCAGTAACAAAAAAATGTGATATATTAGATCATTATTACTGTCAAAGACTTTTGCCACAACTAGATATGTTTTAAAAACAGAGAACTGAGCCACTTAATCAAAATCACATATAGTTCTAATAGTATCTATGCCAACAGTTTTGTTAGGTTGCAGCAAAAATAAAGGCCACCTTGTATCTTGGTTTCCCCAATATAGGGTTAACAGATTTATAAACCATGATTTGAGGACAAACCAACGGAAAATCCTCAAAAAAATTAAGATTTCAGATCACAAAATATTTATGGAAAATATTAATTTACATCTGCAACAAAGATTCTTTTTTAAATTGATAACCATCTTCATCAAACTTGATTTCATTATTAAGTAGTTTTGAAATACATAATATGCATATAATTAAAATTTGTTTACATTTTGCTAGAATTATTATAAGACGAGTATTGCGTTTTTATCCCTTAAATTTAGCAGGGTGCTGTTTTTGCTTTTTGATTGCACTTGCTGTTAGACAAAACTATCTTGTTTTTAAATAAATAAATAAAAAAAACATGTACGTTTCTGCATTTTTTTTATATTTTACTGCAGATAAAAATAAAAAAACTAAACGTTTTCAGCTAAGTTTAAGGACACATGCTAAAATTAGGAAACATTTTTTGTTTTAAGAGAGTTTGAAATCTTTTGAGCACAACCAATTAAATTTGAGACAGACTGCAGAATTAGAGGATGTGTGGTCATCTTATCCTTATGCAATTGAAAAGCAATACATACACACATATTAATGATAAGTTAGTATAGTGTAATACCATTTCTTCTTCAATTATTACTCCAGGCATAGTTAAGTCATTTGGATCTGGTATGAATTGTCCTTTTGATGTAACCAAAGTTACTAAAATTTGCCGAGTCCGATCTGATGGTATCCATGAATCTTCAATATCGCTTGAGTTAGAAGAATCCAGAAAGTTATCAAGACCAGGTATTTTCAAGGTGGGTTGTTCAATTTCTAAAGCTCCAACTATTTTATCTTCAGCTATTTTATCAAAAAATGCTTTTCCATCCTTATCTTGACCACTTTTATCATCAGAAAAGAATTTCAAGAGAGGAGGGGCTGGATCATCCTTACAATTTCCACTGTCTGATTAAATATACATACATATATATAATATATATTTATATTACAGGCAGGTTATTGTATTATAAACATATTTTTTAAAAAATGAGGGTAAAATAAATCATGTAATTACATTTCAGAAACATTTTAATAGTAATACACACAATTATTACGAGAATTGAAGTCATAGTGGTATAAAATTATTAACCATTAAATGGAGAAAAAAATTAACAAATACAGCATTATAAGGCAAAATGTTGCTAAGGGAACATTAAAAAAATAATTTAATAAAAGTTTGACTATCCAGAGTAGGCAGGACTCTACAATTTCAGATACTTCAGCATCCAAAAATCTTAATTTTTAGTACTATCTTATTTTCTGGGGGGGGGGGGGATAACCCATCTGAATAATAAAAAAACTAGCACAATTGACGGTTATTAAAAAATAATGGTAAAGGAGAGAAAACTAATCATTGCTCAACACAAAAAGAATCTTTAAAATAAATAAAAAAAATTAGAAGAAATGAAATAAGCTTCTGAATACTTGCTTCTTATAATCAAGTAGTAAAATTAAAATAAAGGGGGCGTTTATCGAAGATCCATCAGTATTTACATGTTTTTCAACATTCCAATTCATCTTTAGCAACAAAAAAAATCATGAGTTTCCAAAAATTCTGGTCACTTGAGCTTTCCAGTTAATTGAATTCAGATAGCCAGGCTTTAACTCTAATAAATATGGAATAGTCTTTGAGATGAAAGCAAATGAATAAAAATAATTAGATTAGAAAAAAATCAAAAATAACAAATTAATCAGAAAATGTAAACAAATGATTATTAAATATATGCAAGATTTGAATTAAATAAAAAAATTAATTAAGTATCAGCAACTAAAAGAAAAAAGAAAAAATAATACAGTTTGTCAGCTAAAGTATAGGGTTAGGTAAAAATGCAGCCCTATAGGAAATGAACATATATGATTTTCACTGTTGAACAATATTTGTAATAAAATTCTGGCTGCGACAGTTCACAAATTTCATAAAAAATATGGTTGGAATATTGATTTGACTGCGTCAACTAAAAGAGTTATTGAAAAATTTAAGGAGACTGGATTGATAAGGTTCAACAAGACTACAAGTGGTAACATGTTAGACAACATGTAGTTTCAACAAGACTCTACGACACGCCATACAGCTCATGAACCAATTCAATTGCTGCATGGGTCATTTCCAGGTCCTGTATTCTCTTGTTTTGGTGATATGAATTGGTCCTCTAGATCAGAAGTTCCCAATTTTTTTCGGCTACTGACTCCTATATATTCTAACTTTTTTCACACAATCCTGACTTTCTTAATAAAGTCTATTAAGGTGAAGGCATTAACTGATAAAAGACTATTTTTAAAATATTTAATTAGAGGAATGAAGATCTTTCATCGTTATATTATTAATAATCTTAAATAAGGATCTATGAACGACAGTTAAACTTATAGTCCTTGCGCTGTGTCTAGTCTAAATTTGTTTTTGATGAATATACATAAGCAGAAAATGAATGATATAAACCAAATTATGGTTTACTTCAAAATGAAAACTAAAAAGTACTGTTATAACAGTTGAAAATGGTTATTATATCTATGGGGTTATTTAAGGTCAAAGATCTAAGACAACAAGCCTAGGTCCACCCATGCTGTAAAGGAAGAGATTCAACACTGGGTCAACGAAATTCAGCCTAATTTATGCAAAATGGTTATAGAAAATTTCAATAAAAGAGTGAGTATGTGTCAGCAAAGCTGTGAAGCTTATTTGCCCAATATGCCATTCCATATATAACCCTACTCTATGTACTTTATGTTTCAATAAATAAAAAAACTATAATTTGAAGAAAAAAACTGTGTTTTCTATTTAATTTAAATCTTATGTAAATTTTGGGTTACTCTTCATAGTTTTCAAAATTTTGCATCTTTAGAATAAGGGGGGTGGAGATAAACAGCACTAGTCTAACCCAAAAGATGCAGAAGGGAATTGCTTCAGTATTCGTAAAAATAAAAAAAAAATATAAAATTTAAAAACATTTTGCTATCTGATAGCATATATTTTTTTAAGTAACACTTTATTTTTGGTACCATATATATATTTATTTCCACAAATACAGTGTTACTTATCTTTTTAAAATATATATATATTTTTTACTTCTATATTTTTTATTATTTTAGTTCATTTTTAGAATCATTTATAACTACTCAATGTACAATTTTGTACAGTTTAGAAAATAGAAATAGGGTTGCTTGTATAAGTGCAAAATTCTAATAGACATTTTTCTTGAAATGTTAAATGTATGGCAAAATTGTTTAAAATGTTAGCATAATATAAACTGTATCAAGCAATCAAAAGTAAAATAATAAGCTTTCATAAAGATAAATGGATTCCCAAAGCCAATTATGTAGAGTATAAAATATATGTACCTATAGGAATTTCAGTGGCTGGTATTACTGTATTTTTTTCCAAATAAGATTCATTCTGTTTATCATCCAGTATATTTCTTTGTTCAATATTAGGAAATGAAGTTTGTTGAATTTTTTCTGGATTTTCAGCTAAAGCGATGAAGAAGTTTACCCCTTCTTTATCTTTAATTTCTTTATTAATATCATTTACATTAAAATATTTACTCAAGTCATTTGATCCTGCATTGGCAGTCTGGAAAAAAAAATGCAATAATGTCTCAATAAAATAGCAAAAAAAGAAAAATAATTAATTCATACATAGTTTTAAAAAATAAATAAATAAATAAGTTGTTGTACATCTATATATACATTAATCTATAGCAAACAACTTGCTAATTTATAAAAAATAACAACAACCAGACAATGGCCCTTCAATCTAAAAAAACATGAGAGCAGTGATTCTCAACCACTGTGCCGCGGCACTTTTGTGTGCCGCAAAATTCCTAAAGTGTGCTGCCAAATTTTAAAAATGTATATAGTTAAATAATTGAATTTACTTCGAATGAAGAGGAAAAATTATTTCGCTTTCTAACAATCGAGATTTAATTTTAAAATATTCGGAAGAATCACTTAATTCATTTTGGATTAACATTAGATGTGATTATCCCATGATAGCAAAAACAAAAAACTTTAAAAATATTATTACAATTTTCTACATCTTATTTGTGTGAATTCGGATTTTCAGTATTAACCAACATAAAAATGAAAAAAAGATCGAGACTGTTAAATGTAGAAGACGATATGAGAGTAGCATTGTCATTTTTAAGACCAAATATAAATGAAACTATCAAAAAACATAAAGCTCAAATTTCTCATTAAAAGTATTCCTATTATTCATGTGTAATTAATCCCTTAATAAACGTTGTTTTTGCAGTACATATTACATTATTTTATTTTACATTTCAAATTATAATCATAAACTATTTAATCGTTAGAGATGATATCTAATATCGTTAAAAGTGTGCCGCGACAAAAAAAAAAGGTTGAGAATCACTGCATTAGAGTAAAAAACACTAGGCAAGAGCAGTGAAGTTAAAAATAAAAAGTGCACAGAACATCAAACAGCATCAATAACTAGGTCCCTCCAAGGTACCACACTTAATTTTATATAATTTTTCTTAAACTTCACAATTGTAATTCTACCTATTTCAAACTATTAAAAAATCTACTAAAATATGCTGCTAAGCGTTATCAAAGCTAATATATATATAAATATTTGTTGCTGAAATTGAACTAAAGCCGGTTAACTTAAATTTATATAAAGAAATTAAGTTATATATTGGTAAATCACATATACAGTCAAATTCACCTAAAACAAGAATACGGGGACAAAGGCAATTTGTTTTAAAAATCGGAGCACTCGTTAAAACCGAGCACTAGAGTGCTATAATGCACTAAAAAACATTTCATTTACGGTTTTCATTAAGATTGAAGGGATTAAATTTGTGACCCTGAGAACATTGTTTAACAAACAACACTCAAGGCACTAAAAACTATATCACTTAATACTTGGCAGTTTATTAAGCAGTCAAACCATTTTATTAAAGCCTCATTTTTTTAATTACAAAAAAATCATTTTCATTCTTTGATCAACAAAATTTTTTTCTAACAACTTTAACAAAATAATTTTCCTGAAGATAATAAAAATTTTCTTGTTAAACTTGAGTTACCCTAACCATGAGTTTGAGGTGCTTTCTTTAACACAAAACTCAAGATCTTAGCGAGATCCTAAGTAGATCCCTATTGATTTGGACAGCACACATTTACTAAAAATAACTTAGCTTTGAAATTTTATTAAGTTAATTTTTTATAAGTTTAACATTTTTTAAGCATTACTTTAATTACATTTAACATTTATTAAATTTTTACGCGAAATAAGACCAATTTTAATGCATAAAATATTTATTTTTAACTTGAATTTTAAAATCTGACACTCACTTGGATATCAAGATTTTTTTCTTGAATTGATGTCTCTAATGATACAGTTTCCATTACTCCAAATTCAACATCTGATTTTGTTATCTCTGCACTCTCAAGTAAATCGTTTTGAACAAGTCCAAGTGCAGTGGACATATCTTTGTTAACATTCGTTGAACTGGCCTGTAGAGTTGATTTTTCTAATTCCGCTTTTGCCACAGCACTGGAATCTTTCTGAATACTTTCGGCTTCTAACTTAGAAAGATTTTGAAAAGAATCCATAATATTCTGAAATTAAGCAGAAACAACAAACACTAAAAATATTATACTACATTTGTAATTATCAATCATCAAGAAAAATAAATCAAAGCACATTACAAGGAATTTACAAGATACATAAACCCCTGCAACACTCTTTTATTACCAAATAATTAAAATTTTAAGAAACAGAACATGATACGTATCGATTTCGGGGGGTCGTAAAAAACCCATAATCAGTACTTAAAGTAGTTTAGGGGTACCTACCAATTACCACAATTCATCTCATAATCTATTACCACAATACTAGTAACTATTACATTTAATTGAGCTTCATTGGCGTCAATAACAATTTGTCCATTTTTACAGCCCCCCTCTGAAATGGATACGTACCAAGGAAATTAGTTTATTCTTTAATTTCATATCATAAATCGTAGATGATTTAATAAGTTTTAGAAACGCCCAACCTAACACCATAATTTCTGTGGAAATAAGAAATAAACAGCAAAGAAGTTTACAGAACAAGTAATACTTGAGTCTATATTTTGTCGGATAATTTGCATGTACTGTATAAGTTTTATCATAGACAAAAAAAAAAAAAAATCCATACTTAAGGTTGAGGGTGAATTCAAAAGATTAATCTGCAAATCCCTCTTGCAAACTTCAAAAGTGTAAATAAATTAAATTTTAGAATGAAGAAAATATTTTATTTTTCTTACATTCCTTAATTTATACATGTTACACTTATAAAATACAAGCACTTCTGTTTCTTGTAAAAGAGCTGTTAGCTGTTAGAAAGTAAATAAACAGACGAGTCAGTTTCTGAATCATGGTTACAGCTATATTTGAAAAATATATATAATTATTTAAGTATTTATTTTGGATAAAATAAACTCTTTTGTTCGGTGCAAAGTCTAGAACATCTGCATAAAAGTGAATCAAATTTGTTCTTTTTCATTTATTTCTTTAAAATCACTTAAAAATGATTTACATCAGTGTGAAAACTGAAGCTGTGTGAATAGAAATTGAACTTCGTTTTTGTTTTTGTTTAGATTTGTTTCGTTTAGTGATCGCTGCTCAAGTGTCAGAGAACGAGTGGAAGTTCTTGACTCTATGGATCAATTAACTCGAAGGTGGCAAAAATTCGCATAATAAAAAAGTTATGATTAATCTGTTTAATTAAGAAACATCAAATGTTATGAGAAAATTTTAGTATTTATTCGATTTTCCGGTCTACTATTTTGTTATGCTGGATTAGGATGAAAAGTAGAGCATTAAATTTTCTTCAAACGAGCTGAAGTATTTTGGAATGAACTTCTTTAAGAGTTAAAGTATGTTTTAAAATTAATTAGTTTTATTTATTAATTTCTTTTAAGAGATTTTTGTCATTGTTTTATTTTATATTAAGATTTTGTTCCTACCCTCTCTCAAAATGAATAATTACAAATTTTTCTTCGAAGTTGGTTTACAAATTGTTAATTAAAATTTGTATTTTAAATTCTAAGTAATTATTTGCATGCTGTCTCCATAATATTTGTGAAAATATCATTGAAATAGATACTTTGTACATTTACATATTGTGCGAAAATATGTCAGAAGAAAAACAAGATTTTAGCATTGTAAAAAAATAATCTCGGAACAAATCTTAATGAATTTTTTATGTGATTTTCTAAAATATATATAAAAAAAAAACTGTAGACTTGACACTTGTTGAACNAATTTTTTTTTTGCATATTATTAAAAAAAATTTTCTTCGGTATTTATGCTATTAAACATTTGACCAACATTTAATGATGACAGTGATGCTTAATAATTTATGGTAATAGTTAACCTATTTTAGTATACTAGTCAATGTAGTCATCATTGTAGTTGACCAAATTACCCAATGTGGGCCAATGCCTTCCTCTGAAGATTTCTCTATAACGATTGCCGATTTATCTTTGATCTCCAATTTTTTTCATTAATTGCGAGAAAGACACAACCGAGTCAGCCTATCGCAACTGGGACCTTCCTCGCTTTCTTGTTCCAGTGGGTCTAAAAAGCAATATCTTTTATATTGTATTGTTATTATTTATTCCAATTACGTGGGCCATCAACTTCATTCTATTTATTTTTATGTATTTAATAATATCGGGTTGGTGGTAGATCTTGTACAGTTCAAAGTTGAATCTCCTTCTCCGGTAATTGTTTTCATTTACACTACCAAATATACTCCTCAAAATCTTTCTCTCAAATATTGCGATACAATTTTCCTCCAGTTTTTTCATTGTCCAAGCTACAGTAGCATATGTCAAGACCAGCCTGACAATAGTTTTGTAAATTAAAAACTTTGTTTTTCTAGAAAGAAACCTAAGCTTAATAGATCTTCTCAGCCTATAGACAACCTTATTTGCCAGATAGAGTCAGTATTTTATTTCAGGAGACATTCTGTTATCAATATAAATAATTGATCCTAAGTAAGTAAAACTACTTACTGTTTCAAATCTATTTCAAGATAGGGGTCTGGACCCATTTTCTTTTCTCTACGAGTATGACTAAGCCCATTTGTCTTGCAACCACCTCAAGGGCAAGAAATGCCCCTTTCAGAGAAGGAAAGGAATGAGCAAGTTAATGTAGTATCTTAATATATTATGTATGTATGTGGTAACCTAATATATAAGTGGACAATACTGATTCCATGTTTTTTTCCATAATTCTTAAACATTATGTAAATCACATAAAAAATATTATTTAATTACATGGTATAATAAATTTTTATGTTACAGCGGTAACATAAAAAGCTTCAATTAATCTTTTTATGTTAGTTCTTTTCTGAATATCCTTTTCTTTTATTTTATTAATCTAATCGAAATACTTTCTCACACTTTTAGATTCACATCCTGTCCTTAAATCTATTTTTGGCTCAACTATGCATTAATTAAAAGCAGGACATTTTTCCCTTTAATCTTCGTGGGAATCACTCGACCTACTTCATAAACCAATAGTAATTTCTAAGATTTCCCTCTTTTCTCTAAATAAAGACATTTATGGATTTTACTTCGCAAGATTTTCCCTAACATATAACCAAGGAGCGCAACTTTTCGTGTACCCTTTTCATGATTGCTCTGTCTAATAATTAATAAATAAATTTCGTACCCTCCTTCCCTGCCTACGACCTGTTTTAATCCTTCCACTCGGCAACGACGTTACATATCAATATATATATATATATATTCTAAGCATTTAAATTTTAAAAAAAATGAAAAATGTAAACTTTTTACGTCTACATTCTACTAACTGTACTAACATTCTACTAACTCATCAAGCATGTAATGTTTAATTAATTTCGGAGGGGGTTTTGTCCCCCAAAACTACGCCACTGGCTCGAAGTTACTTCAAGTTTTCTGAAACTTCTATTTAGTCCTGCAACATCACTTTTGTCTATTGAAATAATTTTTATAGGTGGTATAAATTTAAAGAAACAGATGGATAAATGGCACAGTGCACTAGACCAGCAGTTCCCAAATTGTGTTTCGTGGAACCCTAGGGTTTCTTGTGAGGGTCACAGGGGTTCCCAGAGTTTTTTATTTCCAATAAGCTGCACAATCGGTCTTGCCGATGAGCAGACCTTGTGCGTTCTCCAGAGTTGGTATCCACTCTTTCAGGACCACCACAATGGGTGAGATACCGTTGGTCATGTTAATTTGGACGTCTAGTTTCTGCCACACTAGATGGCAGCACCGAGACTCTATTTGGATGCTAAAGTGCACTAGGAATTTAATTTTGCCGGAAATGCCAAGAGACAATAAGGCACTCCAGGGATCTTTTACATGCCGCATAATCATACGACATGGCCGCTGAGGATTTTCTGCATCCCGAAAATCCGGTGTCTGGGCCGGGGATCGAACCCGCAGACTTGGGCTCACCCGACGACAAACCAACTGCGCCACCCAGCCACGGGTTCCCAGAGTAAAAGCTTTTTTTTACCAGTTATGCTTTTAGGAACCTGTAATTAAATTTATATCTAATTAATTACGCATAATTTATTATTTCCTTTATTTTTATAAAATTACTAGCTGTACCGTGTGTACGTTGCAACACTTTCAGTTTGAATTTTAATTTTGTATTTAAGGGTGTAAATAAGATTTGCGATTATGATTTTAAATGATAATTTTATTTAATGGTGAAAAAAAAACAGTGATAGTCTCAGCAGTTAATTCTCTAGGATATCGTTACTGCATTTTCAAACAGACATGTATGGTAATGCACACGGACCATGAAACATATTTTGAATGATGATCTGAAATAAGTCTGATTAATGGTGATATCAGATATTTCTGCTGATATCACCAGCTGACCAATTTGGCATGGAGTGATTTTTTCAATAAGCCAAATCATGTGGCAATTCTCTTTTTCGCCATTCAATAGAATACATCAGACACTGTGTCTCTCGAAAAACATGACGCTTCGCAATGAAACCAAGTATAGAGCTTAGTATTTGTTTTAACTCACATGCAGTAATATCATGAAGATCCGATGATGTTTGCCTAGGTTACGAAAGCTGTTTATTTTCAGCTCAAGCAGGATTGCATGTGAATGCAATAAATAACTCTGGTAACCCATATGGTTGTTGTTGTTGTTGTAGTACCGAATGAAGTAATTTGGAAACACGAATTGTACCGGCTTAAATTCGCCAAAAATTTTTTCGATTGGTTTGTTTGACCTGATAAGAACCTTGATAATGGCTCGGCTGGCGACGTTAAATCTGGCAGTTTTACTTTGCCTCCAGAACAACAAATTCCAGCTGTTTCATTCTTAAATTTGAGAGCACTACAAAACATACATAATTGATCCTTTTTTCCGATGATGACGCTTGGGTGAAGACTATAGTTGGTTGTCGGATCATAGTGAAATGCACTGAGATTCAAATTAGGGTATTGGCAGCATCTAAATGCAAATTGCGTTCTTGATTGATTTTCATTCTTGCTTCCCGTTGCTCTGATGTTTCCGACGAACTGGCTTGAGTAGTGAGTTCTCTATCGGTTTTCATTCTTGCTTTCCGTTGCTTTGATGTTTCCGACGAACGGGCTTGAGTGGTGCGTAGTTGATTCGTCAACAGTCTTCTTTCCCGCTGCTCTTTCTCTAAGGAACGGGCTAAAGCATTGTGTTCTCGATTAGTTTCAAGTCTTTTTTCCCGTTGCGCCGATGTTTCTGAAACACGGGTAGTTCTCTTTTTGCGTGTTTGAGATGTTGATCTACTAAAACCGATACGTTTAGGCCATATATTTTTGCAAATATTCTCTCTCAAACAAAAAGAAATGTAAAAGTTGACAGTGGTCGCAAATTTGCCGAATCGAAAATTCACATATTTATTTTAAATAATAAAAATGAAATAAATTAAGTAAGAAATATAAGAATGATAAAATTTAAAACAAAAATCTCTTTTTTAAATGAAAGAAATAAAATGAATGTGAATTCGAAAACTTTGTAATAATAAACAATCTAATAGTTTTCAAATGACAACAACTGTCAGCAATGAAACCTTCAAAAACAACAATGAAACTTGCGCGAATTATAATTAAATATTAAAGCATATGTAATTTACTTTTCTAAATGAGTAGAGCTATAAGATAGAAAATATCACTCATGTTGTCTTCGAGATATTTGAAAACTGAATCGTTTATATCAAAATTTAAAACAATGGCTAACTTTTGACCAATCAGAAAATTCCATTTCGATTTTCGCAGATACCGTTGGAACGGTTTGTCGCAGAATGTTCTAATGTCGACAGAAACCTTTCTCGTGCTTTGAACTATCTGTATGCCAAGTTTTATAGCTTTCTGTCGGATGGTTTAGGAGTCTATAAAGGACAAACAGACGCACATTCACTTATATATATATAAAAAAGTGTTTTTTTTTTTAGTGTTTCTTATAAAAAAGTGTTTTTTTCTTCTTTCTAATAACAATATATTAAATAAATAAAGATGCATGCATTTATGAAAAATTGCAGTTTTTCCTATCAGATAAAATAACCAAAGTGAACACTGAAGAAGTATGTGTCTCTGGTAACCATTCTTAATGTTTATTTTGTTCTGTTTCATTTTTACAAAATACAAAAAATAATTGAATACGAAAGTCTCTTAGTATAAATTTTTTTTCTCCATTTAATAAATAAATAAAAAATTTATTCAAGAAAGTTTTGATTTGAACTGGAAGAGTTCATTATTTTCCACAGCTTTTTAACTTGAATAAATTGGCATTTTGCATCTATTTAATGCGCTATATCAGATTTTAAAAAATACAAAATCGAAAATTATGTAAATAATTTTAAATTAACTAGTTACCCAATTTT